AAATCCACTGAAGTCCTTGCTGTCAATTGGATCACTTTCTTACCAAAACATTCATATTTCTAATAAAGAGTAATTGAAAAATGCAATAGGATAGAAATGTAAAAAAAAATTTTAATGCCATCTTATTAATTTCTAAAATGATTTTATAGACGTGCAATTTCTTATTGCATTATTTAACTTTAAAAGCTTCAAGCATGCCTATAATTAAGTAATGAGTAGTTCTTTCACAGCAACAAACTATGAAAAGACCCCTGAGCTACATCTGTATTGCAGATGCTGTAATGAAGTCAGGAAACAGTGAGTGAAGTGTGGGAGGGATAGGCTGAAAGATGCATTTCAGTAAGGGCTTTTGAAATCAAAAAAAGGGCTACTATATAATCTTCACAACCATTAGAACCAAGACTCAAAAAATAGTGTGGGAGTGAGAAGGAAAGTGGTTGACAAGGTCAGTGGGAACAGTGCAAACAGGGAGCCCACAAGCTGACTTCCATGTTTTACATAAAGTAAAACTGGTAATTTGGAACTGAATGATGACAGAACACTTTAGCTTTAAGTAATCATTGTGTATGCTCAGGAGAACCAGAGGCTCAAAGGTCTGTGTTTATCTTTCTGTATATAATGTCTACCTTAATACACAATACCTCATTTATTGTCATTGCTTTACAAGACCTTGTGTGTAAATGACAGAACTAAGGGGAACAGATAAGAGGTAATTATACTGAGATGTGTGTGTCACATGGAGGTTTGCACCCACAGTCATTTTTACAGACTTAAATTGATTTGAAACTGGTATTAATTATACCAGTAGGACAACTGTGTGCTGATAGGGCATCAGTTTCTCTGTTTTGACATAGCCAAGGGCTTTTAGTGTCTATGACCTACTTGCATATTATGCAACATATAGGTGTGTTAACATACATTATCAACTGATTAAGGTAGTGAGGCAAGTCTAAAAACTGAAACAAAATCATATAAAGAACCAGACTGTCCTCTCATTTACACTCACATAATTTAAATTATTTGATGTAATTTAGGAGTTACACTGCTGCGTGGAAAAAAATTGGCCAACAAATTGATTTTATGAGAAATAATTTTTTTTAAACAATAGAACAATATTAACCAGAAATTACTAAGTTAAAAACAAACAAACAAACTAAAAAGTCCCAAAAGTTGTTACAAACTGATACCTTATTTTTAGCGCTTATCATCAGGAATTTTAATCTTTAACCTTTGCACCTTTAACATTTACTTAAATACCTTTTGCCTATCTGAAGCATTAGCTCTAAGGCCTAAGAAACCATGTAATTTGCCTTGGATTTTGCTTAACTAAAGTCTTTGCCTACACTGCTAAATAATAAAGGGGCTAGGAAAGTATGCTTGAGGGCCATGGGTCAAACAAACTGGATCTCTGATTCTCCATGCTGCTTAATAATCATCTAATTTATTGGCTCTGCTTTGGGCAGCACCAGTTGGTTTTTTCTGAGCAATACTCAGGTTTAGTTTGTCAGACAGTTCATTCCAGGAACAAGGTCCAGAAGGACAGTGGATAGCACTGCTTGGCTCAACAGGGTTTATATCCTGATTGCTCTAAGATAACCTCATATTACACCCTATTCATGTAATCCAGAATTCAGCATCACTCTAAAACAGCAACAACTTCAGACTGGTCTGCAACAGAGGTATTTCAGAAACTGACCAAAAATCTCCTCCTGTGGCAGTAAGTGTACATGGTACCTCAAAGAGCCCAGACAAGGATGCATCCTTGGACTTGGTCTGTGGATACAGTCAGGCAGTCTGGTAGAAGAAGGAAACGCAAACCAACATGAAGACAGGCAGAGTGAGAGATACTAACAAGGTTGGTTAGACGTTGCTTCACTTTTTTATGTCTGATTTAAATTTTAATTCAATAAGGTGGTGTTACTCTCAAAGATTTACATAATGTAAGAGTTATTTCAGATATCTTGGCAAACTTCATGGAATGCAAATCTTAACTGAGGAGTACTGGTCTAGTCCTGCCAACTACTTGAACACGGGTCAGGTGCACTCCAAGAGGCTCTCCTCCATGAAAACATTTGGTTTGGGAGCTACCTGTAGGAAGTACTCATTTTAGCATTTCCTACAGCCTCTCCTGTCGACAAATGTTATCCATGACTTCCACACAAGGAAGGCAGGCTGGAAGCAGTGCTGGAGACTTGAGGACAAACTGGAACTCTGTATTGAACAATGATTTTGAAGTTAAATTCCCTTCAAGAACAGGACAGTTGGGATGGAAGGTATGTTGTGGAACATGTATACCACAAGCTTTAGCTATTATACAGTTTTATAATTTCACATTTTCTTCTGGCTTGATGGGCCCAAATTCAAAAGTAGTGTTTAGTTAAAGGTAAGCTCAGGGGTACAATGACTAGAAGATGTCTGGAGATTCGAGGTGAGTCATGAGAGACCAAGTACAACTACCTTATTAGTTGTTTACTTTATCTAGTTTTAACTCTGTATGGAGGGAGCACTTCTGGATAGAGTTTCCAAAGCCATCATTCTCTCTGCAGTGGCTTGAGAAACACCTACAACTAAATGTTTGGTCTTCTTGAAATAAAAATCTATCTCCATGGGAAATCTAAAGAACTCTCTACCACAGATGTGGGTAGTTTGGGGAAAGTACATGTGGAGGCGAAGCTGGTTTTTGCATGGAAGTGTTAACCCCTTTGGTGAGAATCTAACAGATCTGTATCTAGGTTGAAAAAAAATCACATAAAAGAAGGAATCTGCACTCCCTTTACTGAGGATACACTGTACAAAAATACATAATCATTTATAAGTGGGAAGCATAATGCTATGTGTTCATATGAGGCACTGGTGAAATCTGAAAAGACTTTGTGAAATTACATAATTTTTTCAGATGGAAGTTTTGTAAGTAGGTACTTCAGTAATATATATGCTTATATAATGGACGTGGAAACACTACTTAATCATCCATTGTTAAATAATGCACAAAATCACAACTGTATGGACTTCGCTCAGCTTAAGGAACTGCCATTTTGCCACTTTAGATGCTGACACCTCACATAGCATAAAGGAATTTTCCCAGATACTAAGAAATTAATTTTGCCCAGCAGAAATTATTACACTATTCCATGATGCTGACAAAGCACCACAGACTAAGGAACTTTTTATGTGACGGTTGTCCAGCTTTCTATAAAAACAGTGCTCGTTGTGATGTAGAAGCAGAACTACACCTTAGGATATTGCTTCACTTCTACCACACCACTTATTTACTTTCAACAACACAAAATTGCTGATCCATAAGCTCAATTTTCTCTGCTTTACATGGTGTATGTGGGAACAAAACAGGGGTCCTGGGTGAAGAGATCAAGATACTAAAAAATTCCTGCAAGTCAAATGCATGTTGTCTATGGTGAGATTTTTCTGCACTTGCAGAGCAGTACTCAGGGAGCAGTGAGGTGACTTAGCAGTAATTGGCATTAAGGGTGATAGTTATAATCCAGAGACACAGTCAAACAGCCTACACCTTGTGACTGGAGAACTGAAAACTTTATTTTGGAGTAGTTAGAAAACCATGCAGAGTTTCTCCCTCTTTACCCCCACCCCTTCCTTCTCTTATTCTAACATTCTTGATACGTGAGAGCACATGAGGAACATACCCAGCACCGCTCCAGTTGCATTTTAATCAGCATCGGGAAAAAAAAACTTGTTTGTGAAGAAAAACAGTGACTTGGTGAATTTTGCTCGTTAACACAAACTTTGAAATGAGTCAGTCAGCACAGTATACATTGTCACACTGCTTCATCCTAGAAGCTGTGGGGAGGACTCAGTGCAACATGGCTGAGGAATTTTTTAAAAAGTGGAGGACTCCTTCACAACGCATTTCAAGAAGTTCCTTCAAAAGGAGGATTTTCTATAGGCAGATGAATTTTCTTATAATCCTTTCTGCTTTGCATCCACCATATGGGCATACAGCAACTGAGGCAACCTAATAAGCTTCAATCTGCTGCAGGGTATGTGTTTGGCAAAACGGGTATGCAGAGAGGGAGGAAGAGCAACTGATGCTGCAGTGGGAACTCTGGGGCAGGCAAAGGTGTAGTCCCTTTGCACCATATTTTTTGTGGACACATGTACAGAAGTGAGGAAAGAATGGGGAAACAGGGAGAGAAGCTGTGTGCACCCTGACATTATGCACTGTGCATCCCTGAAAGCTCTAAGTTTAGGTGTGCTCACATGCAGGACCGGTGATGTGTTATGTGAACACCACATCAGTCTTCTCACATAATCAAGATACAGGGAAGACTTTCAAATGTGGTGGGAAGAGAATCTAAACCTTCCTTTGCACACTTTGCAGCCTTCCCTGTGGATTCACTCTTCAATCTACCTGCAGAAATGAACACTTTTATTGAACTGCAATTTTTAAGTGTCATCAGTAAGTGCTAGCATTAGGCAATCTCTCCCTGAGAGCTGTTTCAGGCCATCCACAGGTTCCAGAAGACAGCACTCATGAAGACTGACATCCTTATTTTATTTAAACTGGATGTACCTCACGAGCTGGCCAAACTAATCTCATTTCTAGTCACAGAAAAGAATTCCTGATAATGGAAAAGTTCCGTCAAGGTATACAATTCCAATTGGTTTACCTGCTAACACTTCAATTTTTTCCAGTTCATACTCCCGAAGATGTTTCTCCAACAGACGTTTCACCTGAAAAAAGCTAATTTCAAATAAATATGCTGCTGTTTAGAAGCTCTTGCCCATCATGCTAATCACAGGCCCATTTTTCCTAGAAATTATCTTTTCTGAACATAAATGTTTAAAATTACTAAGATGTATTCCAAGAAAAAGTTAATAAAGAGGCAACTTGACTTGTCTCACATCTGTCTTATTAATACACAAAATATATGAGTAAATATAGAATTATTTGAAATATTTATATTCCAAATACTAACCCACCATACCATCAGTAGTAGCGTTTGTGACAAAACCACTATTCAGAGTTAAACAGCATTTCCATCCATGTTTTATTTGTCTACTCTTATACAAGTATCTGTGATGATACATTTTTGCAAAACATTCACTTTTTAATTTTGACTTTAAAAATTAAAGCATTACTCGACCAAAAAGCACAGCCTCCGATTTGGTTACCTCAAACTTTACAGGGATGACAATTATCTCAAGAATGTCAGATTAGTTAAACTAGGACCCAATAGTAACAGGACTGTGTCACACTGATTTTGACATTAGTTTGTTAATAGTTTGAACTTTTTCATATGTTTGCCAGCTAACCTGTATTCCAGTAAGTAATGTAAGCAGGTTTCAATTAAATTTACAATATGTATATGCATTTTTGTTTGTGTTTCATTCAGCTTGAACAATGAAAAAGTACAGGCATTCAAAATCTAGGCACTAAGCACCAAGTTAACAGCATTGCAGAGAAATAATTATTTTCTTTGAAGTTAGGCTTTCCTGGGACAACTATATTAGTATTGTTTCAAAATATTCCCTTTCAACTGGTATATTGAAAAGTCATGAAGGAAGGCTCTGCCAGGTGTTTTTATGCAATATTCTTTTATATGATAGCTAGGAGTTCTGGTACAAAATAACCCCCAAAATGCCTAAACAAGAACTTCCTCTACAAGAAGCATGAGAAAAATTTCCAGAAATACTACTGGATTTTTTTTTAAGTCTGTGTTTAAAAAGAAAAACACTTTCAGGATGTTTTGTTTAGTTCTTTCCTACTCCCCACTGCTTGGTAGAACTTTCCTCCCTTTCCTAAGTGTCATTTAAAATTCACATAAAGAGTGTATGCTCTTTCAGTTATGTTTCATTTTGAGAGAACCAATAAATCACTGTACCCCTGGATCACAGTTCTTGCCCACAAAATAAGTCAAGATGCACTTCCAAGGATCAACAGACAATTATGTCAGCTTCATGAAAACATAGTACAAAAGACTAATTTTGCCATGTTGACCTTATCTTATGAAATAAAGATAAAGCCTAAAAATTGTGGAAACACTGTACAAATAAAAATCCATGAAATGCTGATTAGAATGGGAATTCTTCATTAACATTGCTGTAAAAATGCTGTAAACTTTAAACTAAGATAATGTGAGGGTACACCAAATTTCATTCCTATTTTTAAATATAAAGATGATTTGGGAAGATTTAGTAAATATACCAGTAAGACTGTTATATGAATGGTTTTTCTGATTAACCATATTCACAGACTATCCGATTTTTTCTTTTTAAGAAAGAGCAATGTCCTCTGTAAAAGCACATGCAATCAGAATCAGATTTTTGTACTCAAAATACAACTTCAAAGTTTCTGACAGGTGTTTATTCCAGATGCAGAATGACTGTTCACTTTAGAGGCATTTCTGATGTGCTAAGTTTCATTGTATAGTCAACCTATTTTATCAAGGAAGCCTGAGCTACAGAAGCGAAATCTTTTTGTTTTATACTATTAAGACTACTATAAAAATAAAGTACCAATATAATTCAATTTACAACAGGAAAAAAAGCAGCTATACTATACTTGGCTTAAAGTCTACATCTATATACAGACGTGTCCATTTAACTAAGCTTAAAAAACCCCAACCCCAAGAACCCTTGGCTTATTAAACATGAGGCATTATTTTAAAGTATAACTCCCCTTTAGAAATGTACTTTAGCTAGTTATTTTATGACTCCTGGCTTTTAGATCACCCATTCTACACATTATCACATAGAATTACTAGACACAAGACTCCAGCTATTTAACATACACACAAAGTGATGAATCTCAGGCTTTAAGAATACAATGCAACCAGTATGCCCAAGCAAAGTCCTTGAGAGTCACAAGGAACATCAAAGCAGTGCTTGGTGTTTTATACTGTATGGTGAACCTAAGTGGACAAGAAATGTTTTCTCAGTAACAGGTTATTGAAAAAAATCCAAACCATCTACTGAATGCTAATATGCATAAGGCTTCATGGTTGCTCCTGATATAAATTTTAATCATGAAATACCAATTTGAAATGTTAAGACACTTGCTGCATAGAAATAGTTTTTTAAGCATGCTGGATCCTCTGAAGTCACACCCAGGGTTTCCATCCAGGAAAGAGCTGGCTCAGATTTTTAGGGTCCATGGCCTGCTGTATGAGGAGGTTCACTTGCCCTCCTACACTGAGCACTGTTCCCTCCTCAACACCTTTCAGCTTCTCCTGCAGTCTCATCAGAACACGCTCAGCCACTTTGTTAAAGCTCTGGTCGTCACTGCTGGCAGAATAAAAAAAGAAAAACAGGTGCTCTAGATACGGATCCTGAACAACATGAGCAACATTCAAGGAGAAAACCATAAAGCAAGGCAAGAGTGCAGCAAGAAGACAGTAAGAAAAAAATCTTGCACCTGGCTTTTCTTTTACGTTCCTGTGGATCAGTACTGAGTGAAGAGCTCATGTCAGCCTCATCCTCTGGTCTCTGCTGCAGATACAAAGCTTTCAGGGGGTTCATGGTCCAGTCGAAAAGAGGATCATAGAGCAGCACCTACACAGAAAATAAACCTCTTTTTAATTTAAACTGTTAATTACAGCTATTTCAGTGCCCTAGCCCTAGCTCACACTAACCACAATATTAGGAGCTTAGGTGTTCTGGTTTGGTTTTGTTTTTTTTAACCAATAGAATTGGGCTAAATTGCTTAGTAGACAACCCAACAATAAAACTGCATCTGATCATTTGCAGGTATTTGTGTTGTTTATACTTCAACTGAGTTTTGCCACTCAGTCCCATCTCAGCAGTGAATAGGTAATTTTTTAATACACTGCTAGGCACTAAAAAGAATCACTAGTGTTTAATGTAAAGTATAAGCTGCTCTTAAGAACGAGTTTTATTCTCTTCTTTGTGACTTATGCAAAGAGGATTTAATTCAAATGGCACTACTCCTGCTGGAAATTTTGCACTATGGCTAGAAACATTTAGATATTGAAGAGAGTAAAATGCCTGAAGGAAACAGTTTCCATAGAAAATGCTAACTGTTTATAATTTTACTGAAGAATACATGAATTAACAAATCTGGCCAACACTACCACATTCAAATTCAGTACAAAATCTTCACCTTAAATGAATATTTGGTGTAGTAATACATATGAAGACAAAGACAAAAACCTGAAGACATTCTGGCAGGTTACTGTTCAAAAGAATGAAAAATGCTTACCTCTACAATAGTCAGCAAAGCTTCTTGAGAATTTCTCATAACAGCCATTGTTTTCTCACAGCATCTAAAAACATTTTACTGTATTTTAGGTTCTTTTTGGTAAAATGTAATGGCATTTTCATGATTTAAATACTGGATATTTGTACTCTACTTAGAATTTCTAACATAAGAGTAACCTCTTGTACTGCCATTTGGAAAAAAAAAAAAAAGAAATTTAGACACGTAAGACCAGAAGGAGACTGGGTAGTTCACTGATTATATTCTCTAAGACAAAGGGATGACCTGTTTCACTGTCTGAGATGTTTCTATACACAGAATTAACCACTGAGTTAACACTGCCTGTTGAGGTGTGCCATGATGGCAGAATTGCTCGGGTGAAAGAAAACTCGTGTGCCAGCGGTGCTCTGCAACATGTTGGAGCACCTTGGTAGGGTTCCTTTATATGAACAGATCCAATAACCAGGCATTAAGCAATCTCTGAAATCTCTGCTGTAAGTTTAGATATAGAAGTTGTTATTCACTCCTACATTCACTCCCAAGCAAACTAAGTTTGTGTAAGGAATGCAGAGCTTTCCTATGGGACAGGTACTCCACTGAAAGGGATTAGGCTTCCTGTCTACTTCAGGATGAGAACACCTCTCCCCCCCCAAAGTTAACTGATCATGTTCACATTCAATCCTGAAATGACTTGTTTATGGCATTTACCCCAGTACTGTTCATTACAAGTCAGTCTGGCTGAGGCAGAAACAGTGCCTGCACCAGTGCCTTTTATGCTGAGTTTACTTCAGCTGGAGCCAAGCAATTCATGTTTTTCTGTATAATGGGGCAAAAGTTTCAGAAGTAACACAAAACTGTGAATTTAGAATAGAAGTGGCAGTGACTGTTTCTTCACGGGACAATGGTGTACTAGGAACTACTTATTAACATTAATTACTGCCTTAGAAAGACAACGCTTGCACTATATACTTTTTTAAAGACATTAAATTTGGGGTTTGCAAGCATTACGTTCATGAACATCATCAAAGACTGGAATGAGAGAAATGTCCTGCTTCTTAGGGCTCTCATGGGTCATTCACAGGATATAGGATGGAGGTTGGCAGAAACTCAACTCTTTAGGGATTTTTCTGTTTCACAGTTCAAATCTATTGTAGGATTTATATTTTGTACTTGCAAAGTGGTATCAAATATATGATCCAAAAGGGGAAAAGACTCCAATTTACTTACATAAAACTAAACAGAAATTAGAGTTAAAACAAAATTTGTTCAAAGACATTGAATAGTTCTGAATATATAGTAGAGGTCTGAAAGAACAGCTTAGTTCTGAAGGAAAAAAAAATTCATCATTCTAAATCAGTGGTTAGCTGTGGAGCCTTTGGAAATGCTGAGCCCTCTCTGAAATGCCACAAGTGGGTGACAATAACCCATTAGCTAGTGAAGAGTATGAAACACTGAGCAACACTAACGAACTTGCAATGGGTTATATAAACATGAGCACATAAGTTAAAGGTCAGCATTTAGGTATTTCATTATTCATATTATCAGCAGAAATCTGAGTCTCCCCTCTAGCATTAGAACTATTTAACATGTAACAACAACCATAATGCTGGAAGTATTCTGCTGCCTCCTTATCCCTATGCAGTACGGGAGCACTTACCTTCTGAAGACTCCTTCCACGCCAGTAATACCCATTCCATCCACAATGTCCCTGGTTAATCTAAATGGAACAGTCTCTGGTGTGGGAAGGATTTTACCTTGCTCAAAAGCAACCCCTAAACGAAAGGATAATAAATGTTTAATAAAAACTTAAAGTAAAGAAAAATTAATGTTTTCTTGCCTGTCCCACTTACCCAGATCTATATGCACTAGTTCTGCTGTTTGTTCATCTATCAAGATATTCTGAACATGTCTGTCTCCAAGTCCAAGAATGTAGCCAACTGAAACAAAAAGGTAAGTGCTGAAACCATATTTACATGTAATAAAAACCAGAGAAAGCTTAAGATTATTAAAATCATTGTAACAGGTACAAACAAATTACTAGTGAGAGTATTTCTTCTCCTATATATAGATATTACCCATGAAAGAGCAAACGCCATTTCACAAATCCAAAAAAGTTTAACTGAATGCAAATGCAAAAAGGTTGTTCTCATACGGATGTGTATTGTTTTATCTGCTCCACAGACTTCTTGGCCATTTCTCTTCGTAGATAGGTTTATCAAATATTGCAGCGTTAAAAAAAAATATTAAAATGAAGTGCACAATAAAATTAGGTTTTGTTACTGTTACTGTTTTATTTAAAAAAATCCAAAACAAAACAACAAACCAACAACTGACTTTTGTCTAAGTCAGTTTTAAAAATCTCCAGTGATCCAAATTATAAGATCTTTCATGTAAAGCCTATTTCAGTGCTTTACTGTCCTTAAATTAGAAAACCTACAAACAACATTGCCTTTGGTGCAATTTACACCCATTACTGTTTTCATCAGCTGATGATCAGCAGCAGTATTTCCTACAAAAATCTTTCATGTGAATTCTGCTAAACCGTAGATTTACTTCCTTTTTTTTCCAGCAAAAAAGGGAGTGTATAAACATGTTAGCATCTAAAATGGGATCTACTGCAATGTATACAATTTACTAACAAATGTCTTTGAGAGACTCATTACAGAACTGAGCCATCCAAAGAAGATCCACAATCCAAATACATATATTTCTTTATTAAGACAAAGGAAAAATGCCAGAGTCTAAATAACAATTTCAGCCATGGCTGATGATGCCAGTACAAAGAAAGTAAAAGATTGAGCTTTTCAACTCAGTTAAAACATCTGAGGCTACACATGAAATGAATATATGTTAAATGGAAACAAAAGAAATAAACAGCCAGGTAGAAACTTTAAAAACAATACCAGAACCTAAAAATACAAACCACTATATAAAACAAATACAGAATTTCATTCTGTCTTTCTACTGCAGCAGATATTGGGGTGGGGAGGAACAAATCAGAAATCTTAATTACAAAAATAATGCTGGTGTTCTTGCTGGAATTTTTTGCCCTCTACTATGCCTTTTGTGGCATGTGATAAAAGCAGAACAGCCACTGCTTCTGAAATGGTATAAACTTTTTGGTTACATAATCTAAAATGCCAAGATAACTAAGACAATGTAATACCTATAGAAGATGTAGCCACACTACGAGTGTATGCCAATCGTTTTTCAAACCACACAGCTGGATCCAGGAATTTTTCCATGCAGAAATACCGAAACACAGGTTGAAAATTCTCACAGACTTTCATGAAGATTCTGTATTTCTCTTCAGGTTGTTTCTTTTGTGCATCCTTTAAACACATAAGAAATGTTTTACCCATGACTAACTGCTTTGGAAGGAAATTATGTCTTCCTTTGAAAGAACAGACTCCTACTTTCTACCCTCTCCCCTCCATCAAATGCTGTTCTCACTCCTTTCTCTGAGCTATGAATTACTGTCTCTTTTAAAGCAATTACTAATGCACCTATCTACCTGTTTTACTAAACAATTACATTTTCATACAACACTCATGGGCTAAAAAATGTGGAAAAAACCACACTCCTATTTCTTTGGTTCAGCAGGTGTATGTATTTTATAGGCATGTACAGGTAAATGCATCTTGCTGGGAGACACTTCCATTCTTGGCACTCTCTTCTGGTACCTCTGGTTATCTGGTGGCTTCATGTCACTGTGAGAAAGTTACTCTCACTCATTCCCATGCAAAAGGTGCACAGAGCCAAAATTAAATATACTTTAATCCTGTTAATGCTATAGACATTTAAAAGGAAGTAATTTCTTGCACTGTCATGGGTACATAAAGTAACAGGTAAACCTGTCTGCAATTTTCTAAACTTACGGTGAGGTGGTCTGTGGAACTAAACTAAAAGTCTGAATATCTATTCGTTCCATGCCACTGATCATATTCATTATTATATATACTAATAGTATAGTATATAATTCTCCATAAATTTCCCCTCTACCTCCCAACTCCCTTTAAATATTATAAGCCAGTTATTTTTTTTGGTGTTTTTTTAAGTTATTTTGACTCACCATCATTATTTTTTGACATTGATAACCAGAGTAATCTCCTGGTCTGTATCTCTTGTGAGCTCCTTCTTCGACATTCACAAGAAACTCCCCAATGGGAGTTGTTCCTGAACACCACTCAAGAACACCACTTCTCTGTGAAAGGGGAACCACCTGTAAAAGTAAAACCATGGCTGCACGGGGAAGGGTTATACACACAAAACTATGAACAGGCATCCTGCAGAGCATGGGTGCATATCTGTGTTTGTTTATAAAGACAAAAAAGGACAAACCATACAACTGATCACAATACATGTTTTAAATACAAATATATATATATATATATACAAATCCACTCAAATTTTTTCTACCAAATATTTGCAATTTTTTTCCTAGCCCAGAGACCCTTCCACTACCATACTTCAGTATAACTTAACAATTCTCCTCAATGTGAATGTTTATTTTGGCATTCTGGATGACCTATGACAGCCAGCAGGTCACTGTTGGAATGAGATAACACAGGCATTGTGCAAATTGCATACAAGAAGTAAAATCTCACACAAACACATGGTAGCTGTGTGAACATATTAGGCTTGTCTCAGTCTGCTTCCCACCCCAGGGAACAGTTGCTCACTGCATAACTGGTTGTAATGGTTACCTCAATTCCTGTAGCACTGGCCAGAATGAACCATTTGCTTGCCCTCAGTAAAACAGTTACTGCCTTTTTCCTTCGATTTCATTTTCTTATGAAAGTGTCTTGATCTCATAATGCGACATCCATTCTCTTTTTCCCAGATGTCATTCATTTTTGCACACATAAAAACCTGATTTTTAATTGAAGATTATCCAAAAATGTGACTTTAACTCCACCTGAGAATTCTTAAAACCACACCAGCAATTCAGAGAAGCACCTTTAGAGATTCCAGAGTGCATATTTCTCATTTGTCAAAGACAAGAGCTTATCCTTCAAGAATACTTATTCAGAGGTCACCTTCACAGCTATTATTATAATCCCAAGCACATAAAAGGACAGAGGAAGGGAAAGTTCCTCTTCAAATACATTTCCTGCATTCACAATAAGAATGTATTGCTGTATTCCCAATTCCAACAAAAAAGTTCTGCAATTCAAATTCTGCATGAATAGACCCTAGATGGGACTTTTGGATTCAATTGTAAGGGATATTGCAAGACTAAAATTAATTATTAAGGAATATCACAAGACAAATTAATGAGAATTCATAAACAAACTTGTATGCTCAAGTCTAAGGACTAGAAACTTACAATTCAAGGCCAGTGCACGAGTTGATTTCTTTTCAATTACAGGTTCATATAAAGAAAGCTTTGAAGAGTATTTAAATATATATTGGGCATCAGAAATTTATTTTAAGGATTTAGAAAAAATTAAATCGTAATAATTAAAATGTATTGTTTATTCCATACCTTAAGGAGCAGTGATTACCTTAATAACACATAAATAAATATCCTTTTATATTGTCTTTGGGTTAAAAAAGTGGACAATGGAGAAACACACTTTATTTCTCTGCTGCCACAGCTTGTCAGGGTTACCTTGTATCTTCGGATATTTAATTTTCTCTTTCGTGTTTCAGTGTTTTGCTGAAGCAATGTATTGCACATCTGGAAAACTTGTTGCATGACAGCATCTTGCCTGAGGTCATCACGCCCCTTCAGCAAAAACAGAAAAAGCATTTAAAAAACTTTTCAGCATCCAACTTCTTGTTCAGCAACTAAAAAAATTATTTAAAAAAATTGCACAACCCCCAAGTTACTTTTCCACAATAATCACATGCAATAAAATGTAATTAACAATTGATTTTTTTCTCTGTATTTGGTTTTCTAATAGTGCTCAGCTGCTTAAACAGAACTATCATTAACTTAAATCATTACCTTTTTCTTTTTTTTCTGGCAAATATTATTTAAGGTTTCAATCAACCTACATGCCTTACAGCACCGTTTTTAAACATAGATGTTTCATTCAACCTATTTAGCAACCCAGCACACAGCTGAAGCAGCATCAGTTGGCACTGCAGTTCTGATTATGGGATGCAGATTTATGCTTCTCTTTAAAACTTTTGGAACTACCCCATACTTAACAGCAAAACAGAATTTTCCCAGCAGCTGCTCCATGTTTACATTCAAAGAGAGAATGAAGTCAGTTGAGTCTAAAGAGAATTTTTTTAGAGATTTGTATTTCTATGTGTATGCTTTTGATTGTCTCTCAATTGTAAATTTTTTTTTTATGGGGAAGAAAAAAGGAGGTATTTAACAGAAAATTTGATGGTTTTTATTTACTGCATAATCCAGGTCACCAGTTAAGACATGACCAGGCAAGTCACAGGTCTGGTAGTTGTCAGGTAAGCTGCTGGATATAACATGCACTGCTGAAAAATAATTACAAAAAATTTAATACTTATTGTTTATATTATACTATTATTATATTACTTATAATATCCTTTGCAATATCCTTTATTAAAGTATTCTTCAACTGACACTGAAATGTGAAAAGTCTGCTCATGGTACAGAAGTGATACATGAGAAAACTGACAGAACTTAAAAAAAATTCTAGCATGCCAAGTCTCTGACATGTAATTACAACTGACAGAACATACCTTAACCAGCTGCCTCCTTTCTTTACCATCTGATCCTACACAGTCTATTATTTTAGGCAGGTTCATGCCTCCTGCTAAAAGAAATTCTCGCTTAAAAGATCTTATTGTGACCAAATTTTCATATTGTCCTGTGGGATCCACCTGAAATTATAAATAAGTTGAAATTAATATAAATATTACCTCCATTTCACTCAGAGCAAGTGGTAATGAGTTGTTTGCAAACCTCATTAGCAGACTATATGCTAAATATTAATACAAGTGTTCCATCATTTACAAGGATAATACTCACAAAAGCTACAAAAATATGCTGAGCAAAGGAGTTTTTCTGATTCCTCCTCGTTCACCTCACAAACAGGCTGTGACAATGTTAGCCTGTCCCAGCTAGTACTGTCCCAAGAAAACGTTCACACACAGCTGGGGGCATTAGGCTTACAGTAGGCTGCAAATGGGCCCAATCTACAATCCTAAACCTGCTGCAATTTGTAGGATCTGTATCTTCAGCCATTCTTCACATCCTTGTGTCGTAAAGCAACCCTACTCAGTTAGCTGTAATGAAATACTGCTCCAGCAATTTACATCCCAGACCTGCAACCATTTCAGTCAGTTTATACTGGAGAAGAAGAAAGGTAAAGAAAAGAACAATCGAGTTGTACAAAAGAGCAACACCTGGGGCCAATAGGAGCCCTACAAACAAATGTTATTTAGCATGGGTGGCAATTTCTGGCCTCTGAAGTCAAACTGCATAAAGCAGTCCCTTGACTTATTCAGCTTTATAGACGCAGCCTGAGGGACTTTAACACAAGGAAGTCTAGCTTAGTAACATTTAAATTTAGGTGTTGGCCCAAAAAGCAACTCTACGCTCCTGAAACTGGTAAGTTCCCTCGGTAGAGCATGTGGCATTGAAGAGTGAGTGCCTATGCACCCATCCAATCAACCACTTAGGCTAACAGGAATGGATCACACCCCATTACTGAATGGTAAAAACATACAAGCTGGCCATTTAGGAACAGGAGAAGGCATATCTATTAATTCTCATACCTTCAGGACATTAAGTGCCTCTGAGCTAGCACTTACAAAACAGGAGATTCAGACTCCCTAACCCTCTCTGTGATTTAAGTAGTTCATCACCCCTTCTGATAATAAAAGACTAGTCATTGGTAACAGCCTGTATCTCCCATAGGCTGACCTATAAAGAACCTGGGAATTAGATGAAGAGATATATGCCCTGACTGCCACTACAAAAGCTTGAAGCTGATTCTATGATTTGATATTATAGTCTGTATTTATTGCAACTTCAGTCACCTTAATTTCCATGGTAGGAACAACAACATCCAAGTCCTTCAGTTTAATAATTGGCTGGTCAGCTGGAATACTTATTTGTTCTGTAATTAAAAGGAATTAATAGTTTTAAGTTCAGAACTAGTAACATACATCAAAATTGACAAAAACCAGCTTACATTGTCTTTGGGACCCAAAACCTCATTGTATACTTTTGTCAAGCTGATGAAGATGATCGCAGGGCAAATGGTGATTTCTGGACTTTGATATTCAGAGTCTGAGCCTTACAGTGCACATAATTACTGTGACTTCTAATCCAGACTAAGTTCTACCAAAAATAGGACACAGTGCTAATGCCGTATCTCTTTTAACTAAATATCAATATTTAGAAATACACTTTTTAATCTGAGAAAACAAAAACTATCTTCACTATTAAAACAAACATTTTTCCAAGACTTACTTCTTTGAGATTTCCATGGAGTAGCATCTACATTTGCTAATGTGATGTAAGCATCACAAAGTGCTCCGATGTCTCTAACCATATGAGCTCTCTTTTTTCTTACGATATTGATTATAGTGCTAGCAGCCTCCATTCTGTCCTAAAAAACCCAAAGGAATACAAATATCAGATCTTGCAAATTACACCTTGTAATATTAAAGATATATTATAACATGCAGGCAATAAAGTACAAATGAGATATGTCCTATGAAAACAGAGCAAACTGCAGTAATGGACAGCTCTTTGTGACATGAACTAAAATAATCAGAAGAAAAATTCTGTGCTGTCTAATCTGAGATGATGAATAATGTAAAATATTATTGGGAATGGAGAGGGAGCAAATGTCTGGGCAAAGTGCAAAAAACCTGCAAAAATTCTTCAGAAAAGAGGAGAGGTAGGTTTGGATGTTCTCCCACCATCTGCCTGCTTCTGTTACGTCCTCCCAACTGAAGAAAAGTCCTGTATGCAAAAGGCAAAAACCTGACTATGCATTCCTTCTGTGCCTGACTCTGAGACACCTGAGTTTACATAATCCCACTCCAAAGGGTGGGACCACAAAAACCCCTATAAATTTGAGAGAAAGGTAGAAAAAAGCCACATAAAAGTGTGCTGAAAAAATGTATCAGTATGGGGGCTAAGAAGGCAATGACAACCATGCCAGGCCTACAACAATGGGGGAAAGAATGGGCATTAATCTAGGTGAGAGATGATTCCAAAGACAGGTTCCAACAAAAATTAAGCAATAACAACATTACATGAAACTACAGTTCAGTATTACCTATCATCATGGCTTTTAACATATAAAGGAACAAAGGATATACTGCACAAGGCCAAATACTTAGGTGCAACAGATGTTACCACTCAAAGCAGAAAAAATACTCAATTCAGGATGTACTTTTAACAATAAACCCACTCAAGCCTTTCTTGCATCTAAAATGCTTTTTACAGAATGACACATCAAGGATTTTTATCACAAAAGTCTTTGCAATAATCGGGGCTATTTGTGGCAGGAAATGTTAACTATATTTTGTTCAATCCCATAATTATTTCTTTTAATAATAATTACTAATGTACGCACAAAGGGGGGGGGTTATTATTAAAAGTACTTTTTCCCTCCTACTGTTTCTTAACAAAAGCCAGCTGATGAGCTCTGAACTAAAATGACACGGTTTTTTTTTCATTTTTTAACAAAATTAAAGGACTGAATGTGATTAATAGAATAGAATATTTTTGTAGTCACCACATCAAGCTGGGAGATTTCTTTCGGTGCATTTTTAATTAACTTATTTCTTCTTATTGCATCTGGTTTTGTGAGGAGTTCATCTTTGTTAGCATTAGCCAAAGCTAATATTATAAACAAAGTATGATGAGGATGATCCAGTGAAATTCTAGACATTAGCTGTCAACAAAAACAAAAAGATCCTATTATTGAAAACTGTACAGAAGAAAAAAAAAAAATTAATAATTAACATTATTAATTAACATTATTAATTCTTTTGAACTTCTAAGGTTCCTAAGAAGAAATAAAATGGTAATACTTAGATGGTATTTCCACAACTGAAAAAAACATTCAAAGTGCATTCCTACAGCTGCGTAAGTCTACTCTTATACAACAAGAAAAATCAATTACGTAGAAAGGAAAAAGTCCCCAATCCTCTTTCCCCACCATACTAATTTTGCATCACTTATTTTTAATACACCCTGATCACCTATGTAACTTGTTCAGCTACAACTGCACAGAGGAAGATGGATATTGTTTAGAAGTAGGCACTACTAAGATAATCAAGATATCTTTAGATAAGAAAAGCATAAATTACATTATTCAGAACTTCGTGAAATCCTAAACCACCCATCATCTTAGTTCCCATCCGAGCAGCCAGCTGGTACATCAGAGGCAAAAACTTGTATGAGGGAATCTTCTGTGCATTTTTCTGTAGTAGAGAAAATTCAGTTAGAGAGCTGTACTAAACACCAAACAAAAACTGTAATCATAAATTTTTTTTAAACTAAGAGTAATCATTGCTGTGTGATCAAGTGGCAGTTCAGTGAGTATCACATTATCTTGGCCCATGTCTCCTAAATGCTACAAGTCGTTCATAGGAAAAGTAATATTTTCTATTCTACCTTTCATGGCTTTTCACCTGAAAGTATATATAATTTAAACTAGAATAATGTACCTAAGGATGCTCATGATGGGTAGTTTCCAAAATATGTAAAGAACAAGGGGACCACAGTAAAAGCTCATGAGATATGCTTAATCATACAGATTTTTCAAATTAAAATGCTAAATTAAGTTAAATTAAAATGCATGGAGAATTACAGGTCTCACTGATGAAAAACTAACTGATAAGCAATGACAACTGAAAAAAGCAAGTTTTGCAGGAAAAGTTAAGCAGCTACATAGGAAAGCATACTGCACAGCACTATAATTCATCTTCTAGAAACCTAGGAGAAGGAAACGAAAGATGGATAATTTAACTGTCGAGGCATTAGGAAAAAACAGAGCAGACATATACCTTCATCATTTCATTGACTCTATCAACTCCAGGATTTTCAAGCCACAGTGAACAGAGTCGGAATATCCACATATCATGTTCTTCTCCACTTAATAAACAGCTGATATAGTTCTCCACTGCTTTACACAGGAAACGTTTACGATCCTCAGTTAGGGCTTGTATGGCACATTCATCCAGTTCAAGTTCTCGCTGAACCTTCACTGTGTATCTATGTGAACAGACATTATTTTTAAACACCACATTAACTCTTAATGAACTTGTAGCAAGGACATCTCTAGCTCTCTTACTTACTAATTTAACATTTTAAAGTTGCTTTGTATGTACAAGCACAGCAAAATAAACAACTGAGAAATCAAATTGTGGGAGCTACTCCTTTGGTGTATGCACAAAGACCCACTGCTCTAAGTAAATTTTCAGTCAGTGTCTTCTTTTAAATGATTTATTCTCAATATTGGTATATGTGTGAATATACAGTACAGATAATTTGTGTAAATACTTCAGTTTCCAACAGCTGAAAGTCATCCTTTTCTGCCCACTTTCAATTGTTCTTACTGAATCCATATGAACTCCATATTAAAATTAATTCTACTCTTTCACTAAATTTGTAATGGAGCAAAATCTCAATTCATTTATTTTCACTCGGTAACATTTTCTTTGTCAAATAAACTGAACAGATCCAGGGAATAAACATGAATTCCAGGCCATGATCATCCGTACTGTTTAACTGCTGTAACAGTCCTTGGCTTAGTTTTGGCCCACACTACCTAGCACATGCATAGACCATGTTCAGGCACAGTTCAGAAACTATTCACAGGAAGCACTGTGGATTTGGCCACTGTTTTGTGGAGGAGGAAAAAATCAGCCGTAGAGATGCGACCCATACTGTACCTCTTGCCCAGAAAGTTGGTAGAGATGGAGCCTTTGAAAGCTCCATAGTAACCACCTCTCCATTTGAATGCTCACCTGTTGGTTTGAACTCTACATTCCCTGATGAGGCCAACCTCCTCCTTGGCCTTCTTCAGTAGTGCTTGCTTATTTTCAAACTCTGAGGATTTCATGTAATTCTCAATTCGCTGGTACTGATTATCAGAGAAACGAGCCAAAGACAGGAAAGCCTTCATCTTTCCTTTCTTCAGCTCATCACTGCTGTCTCCACTGTGGCTTGCAGCAATTTCCACAGCCTACAGGGGAAGTAACAATAATGGTAAGATGGATAATGAGATAAACAGTGCTGCATAATACTTGATTAAACTCTGTTATCAGAGAAAGTTGTTTTTCTTGGGGGGGCAGGGTTGAGGCTGGAAGGGACATCTGGAGATCATCTCATTTAACCCCTCCCGCTCAAGCAGGATCACCTGCTCAAATAGATTATTTAATGTTGCCTGTGATGGAATATATATGCATACAAAATGAAATCTAACAGGGTATTTTTCTCATAAGTGAATTTAACCTTTAAGAAGCGTTTCAGTGCAAACAGCCAAAAACATTATCCTGTATGAAACAGATTTAATAATCATACAGGTGTTTACTGCACTTATCTATCTTTTAGAGTAACTAGGCATGAAGTTTTACAATAGTCTTAAAGCCTTATATCACAGGATGGTGAGAAAAAAAAAGGCAGGCAGCCCAAAAAGTGCCAAAAGGAAATTATATATGAAAGTCATGGATTCAAATCACCGTGATGAAAGCACGTAGACAGTAATAGAGAAAAGCAACTATGCTGGGTTTCACAAATCAGCATGAAATAAATAAATGCAGAGTGGACAAATATTAATACAAATGTTTCTGTAACTGGCTAAGAGTTAAAAAAAAAATTTACAGTAGTTTGAAACACTAGAACAAGACCTTCCAGCACCTGTCAGGGGTAACCTTATCACTCTCTACAACTACCTTAAAGGAGGTTGTAGCCAGGTGGGGGTTGGTCTCTTCTCCCACGTAACAAGCAACAGGACAAGAGGACACAGTCTTAAGATGTGCCAGGGGAGGCTCAGGTTGGACGTTAGGAAGAATTTCTTCACAGAAAGAGTGACTGGACACTGGAATGGGCTGCCCAGGGAGGTGGTAGAGTCACCATCCCTGAAAGTATTCAGAGAAAGATTAGATGTAGCACTGAGTGCCATGGTCTAGTTGATATGTTGGTGGTCGGTCATAGGTTGGACTTGATGATCTCAGAGGTCTTTTCCAACCAAAGCGATTCCCTAATTCTGTGAAATTCTGTGGCCACACTGAAAACCTGATGAGTGAATAATCTATCCTGAGAAGGAAGGAATGGTAATGTAGAACAGGAAACTAGACTAGTAGTTGTAATCACTGCACTTCTAAGCCAATATTATACATTTCACTGTGAATTCTGTAAACCCATATTCTGAACATTTTATAAGATTACAGTGTTAACACAATACAATGTGAAACTATGTTTTTATAGGAAACCATACTTTCAATCCAGAAAAAATAAAGTCTGCTTGACATTCTAACACCATATTTTAGCACAGCATTATCTCAAAGACAGTGTATTTCAAAGACCAGATGCACCTTTTCTAAGTATTTCTGCATGATGACTGTAGGGTTTTCCAAGCATGTTTCTGCCAACCAGGTTCCGCACAGCCTCAGACACTCTGTATACATCAATCTCAGGTGAGGATCATTCTCAACCTTTGAAAAAGCAAGTTTTGGGAACAAAATTAAAGAGAGGGAAGCATCAAAAAAACCCACCCCTGAATAGGCAATTTCTAAAGTTTTAAACCCTGAACAGAATTCAATCACTGAGGCCTATTACATATAATGCATCTACAAAGTCATTCACCACCCACATCTACAGCAGTTGATAACCTTAAATCACATTCACATTCTACGTTAGACTAAAGGAGAGTATGTATTTTAAAATACCTGATAATCCGAACAATGAAAAGCAGAATAAACCAATGACAATATGTAATAAAAAATACATAAATTCACAGCCTGTTTCCGTAATTGTTATTTTCTAATACCCCCATTTAGTCTGAAGTATCATAGTACAATCCATAGGTAACATTCAGGAATCATGATAACTATGTGTGATCACTAAATTATTCTGACAGATCTCTACATGGAAATTGGATTAAAAATGCTCCGAGAAGATGACGAGCAGGTTTCCAAAGGATGTGACTCTGGATCAGATGCTCAGCTTTAACTGTAGAGTAGGACAAGTTTGCAAAATACTTTTAGTACAGTGTACATATTAAAGACCACATGATCAAGATGGCAACACTGACTGTGAAATACTGAAGTATATCATAGGCTGTGAAAACACAAATCCTTCTTACATAGGCAGGGTAAATGTAACATTGGAAGGATTAAATTTTTGGACGGCCTCATCAACTATTCATGGAGAAATTACAAAAATCAAAAGACCAGCAACTCTTGATTTTGCCCTGATATGTATGGAGAACTTGGCTCAAAATTATCCAGCTTTTCTGTGTGACATTCCTTAATAATGTATGTGAATTCAAAGCAAATGTCTTTTACCCTCCAAAAGTACTCAAAGAAAGCCATCATAGCTAAACATAAATGTAAGGACATGAAGGTATTTTTACCACATTGCTAATGAATTTCTATCCAGAGGGACCTGGACAGGCTGGATTGACTGGTCAAGACCAACGGTACGAGGTTCAACGAGGCCAAGTGCCAGGCCCTGCCCTTGGGTCACAACAACCCCATGCAGTGCTACAGGCTGGGGGAAGAGTGGCTGGAATGCTGTCCAGAGGAAAGGGACCTGAAGGTGCTGGTTGACAGCATCTGAACATGATCCAGCAGTGTGCTCAGGTGGCCAAGAAGGCCAATGGCATCCTGGCCTGTATCAGCAATGGTGTGGCCATCAGGACCAGGGCAGATTGTCCCCCTGTACTTGGCACTGGGGAGGCCACACCTTGAATCCTGTGTTCAGTTGTGGGCCCCTCACTGCAGGAAAAGATATTGAGGTGCTGGAGCACATCCACAAAAGCGCAACAGAGCTGGGGAAGGAGCTGGAGGAAAAGTCTTAGGAGTAGCAGTTGAGGGAGCTGGGATTGTTTACTCTGGAGAAAAGGAGGCTCAGGAGGGAGGGACCTTATCCCTCTCTACAACTACCTGAAAGGATGTTATAGTTTCCCAGGCCACAAGTGATCGAACAAGAGGAAAATAAACACCAAGTTGTGCCAGGGGAGGTTTAGATGGATAATAGGAAAAATTTCTTCACTTTAATTTTCTCTCCGGGGAAAATTTCAGAAAGTGGAATTAGGATCTTAAATAATTTAATTCCCATAAGTTTATACATTATATAACATATACCTGAAACCAATCTGCATCTAATTTTTTTATCATCGTTTTTAGTATATTCAGTGCAAGACTCTCTTCTTTTTTAGCCCAGAAAACCTGAGCTTCTTCTAGTTGCCATTCGGAAACTCCACATCCCTCTGGATTGTGTTGTTTGATCTGAAACATAGCTCTTTCTGGAAGCTGAAATTGAAAAAATAATCATAAACAATTCTTTAAGTGAAATACCAGTGTCTCACAGCAAGTTTTGTTTTAGACTCCATTTTCTCTACTTGTGCAGCATAGTCTGCCCATTCAATTAAACCTCACAAACTCTAAAATAAAGTATCAACGTTCAACATTTTAAATTGGAGGTATATAGTAAAGAAATTCTGTTATAAGTACCTACTGAAGTAATGGATTTAGAGCTTAGTAATTATTATTATTATTACATCATTATATATGTTTTTACAGATCACAGAAAAATAATTTTAAACATGGCACCACCATACACTAATTCTTTTGCATGCTACCTCTTCACTTGTATCACTGGTGAAGTAACATCCTCATTTATTTAGTAATCTAAAATCACTATGACAGTACAAAGAGCCAACTAGCAACTGAAGTGTATTTTCATGAGTTGTCTGACCAATAACCAAATCAATCAAACTTTTAAATAAGCAATTAAAATATAAGAATGCCTGTAAATGTAAGTTTGGGTAGTTCAATTAGTGGTCAGTGTGATGACTCTGTATGGTACTCTTACTTCTGATGGATAGTAGTGGCACCAAAGAGAAAGAGAAGCCATTAGTTGCAAAGAGTGCTTCTTCAAAAACTGTCCTGCATCCAGACACGTTGTATTATCAGCTACTGTTGTGCCAAAAGGAAAGGGATATCATCGCACGGTCTGAAAGACTGAAAAGACCCAGAAGGATGCCCCAAAGGTTGCCCATGACCTTCAACACTGAGAAGGCTGGAATGATCCTGTTTTCAGAAACACGCTGGCTCAATCTTTCAGAACCTTCTACTCAACCCAAAATATGGTACCCCAATTTTAATCATCTTCTGTAACTAAAAATCAGAGTGAAAAAAAATTAACTGCTGTAGATGCTCTTCTAGGACACTCATTGCCACAGTGTTGGTAGCTGGGCAGGCACAAGATAAAAAACATTTGAAGTAGTTTTCCCAAACAATTCCAGAGGTACTGGGTAAAGCTTGCAAATTCATGAAATCAAAGACAGCTGTTCTGCTGATTTCATCACTACTCATTAAAAGAGTTAGAACCTTTCTGAAATCAAAGTGTAATTTAGTTTCACATATGTGAAGTGTTAAAAACCTTTCCAGGTTCTGTATTTAGCTGGAATTACTTTCTGTAGAGGTCCTGGGAAGACATCATTGCTCTTTAAGCTCTTATGGAGTTACTCCTCCAGATGCATTACCTAGCCAAGACTAACCAGCCAAAGCTGACTCTGGACCTAAAATGCATCAGCAGGTGCAAAAATCACTGATAGTGCAAATCCCATTAAGTCATTCACAGAAAGAGATTTACCACAGTGCAATGGTGCTTTGAGAGCATAAAACTTCGAAGATAACAGTAAATATAGAGATGCAATGAAGTTATTTCTGCAGTTTTACTCTGGAATGCTACTGTAGTATAATGCAAGTGAAAGCTGGATATATAAAATTGCAACAAAATGAGAAACAGAGCTGTAAGAGCATTCTTCACTAAAAATTTCATTCTTTTATTATCTGCCTCACAGAGTAGCTTACAGCTAGGAACAAAATTCAGAAAACACATCTATAAATACAAATTATGAATAAGTTCTACTTAGTTTAAGTCTCCAACTAATTGAATCACTGAATAAACTTAGAATACAGTTCATCTTCAGGACTCTTAAAAATTAAGTTCTTTTATAAACTAAAAAAACTAAGCATCTTTTCCTGATCTTTCCTGGAATCTGTTACCTGTGTATTTTTAGCAGTTCTTGCCAATCTAGAGAGCTCCACCAGATGTTTGGTTAGGATGTCTTTAATACATTCTCTTTTGGTATTGTCATTCTCCTTCTCAAGCAAGATCTCCAAAATTACAGTGCGCAGAGCCATGATGGGTTCCTGGAAATGGAAGTCACTGTCCTTGAGAAGTTGGGACTGTCTCTGCCACTTCAAATAAACTTCATTCAGTTGTTGAGTAGTAACAGATCTACAATTGTTACCAAAAGAAAAAAGACCAGTTACTAATTCTCAGTAAACACTCGTGAAATGCAAGATGACTAAAAAGTGAACTACCAAGGAAGTTCATAATGTACAGTTCCAAACCAAGAAATAGTCCATAAAACCCTACAAATGTTTACTATATGTGGACTAAACTGGCAGCCTTCCAGTTTTAACAAACACGAAGATCAACATTACAGGTGAACAGATCCTCTGTAAAAGTTCCTTGTGTTAAAGGTCCATCAGCAAAGGGAATAGCATTCGAACAGAGGGCTGCTTAAAAGATCACAAACCAAGATTCCTGTTTTATTATATAGGTTACATATGGATTAATACAAGAATAAATTCTAAACTGTCACACTGCAGGTTGCCATTTCATGTATTATTTTCTTAGGCAATCCATTAACTGCAAAAAGCAATAAGGTTCCAGACAGGCTAAATGACTGCAGGATGAATATTAGCTACCAAACACACAACTATGACAGAGAAAATTCAATGTTAATAGCACTACCAAGATAAATACCTTCCTGTGATTAAAAAGCACTGTTAAGAATATAGTATTAGAGGTCCATGAAAAAAGTGATTCAAACTGAAACAACTTTCAATAGAGCTATGGGCGTCATGAAGGAAATTGAAAACATTTTTAGAAAAGAAACTACAAGAGGATGACTCAGTTACCTGAGTAAAGCAGAAGCTAGGAGATATGACTGCTACCTTGGAGTATACTAGGGAACTCAATACAAATGAAAGAAAATAATTATTTAAAATACAGTATTGGCATAATATCAAATAATTCAAACTAGACTGTAAATAAATCCAGTCTGGAAATAATAAGAGAATCTAAAATTGTCTTCACATAGTAAAGCTAAAATCCTTTAACTTTTAGGATGAAGTTCGAGATGCTCACAAATAAAATTTGTTGAGGTCGTTACAATTTTCGTGCTATGCTTGATTACCAAAAATTCTGAAAGCTCAGAAACAATCTTAAACAATCTTAAAAAATTACCTGGAGAACAGGAGACCTGTGTTTTCCAACTCTCCAATTAGCTGTAGTCTACAAAGGGTTGGGTATAATGAATAAACAGATTCAAGACTCCCTTTGCACAGCTCTTCGACTTCATTCACTCTATGGATTTAGCAGAGAAACAGTAAATTTATTTTTTTTTTCACTATCCACAAGTAATTGCAAATATCCATAACATAATTTCCACACAGTGAACAGAATTTAAACAGCTAAACTATTCAGTTGGGAGTTATTTTGTATTACCATTAAAATTAAAATAATAAATTTTGTCAATAAATGAAAAGACAGTAAGCATATATAAACCCCAAAGTTCAGCCAAAGAAGAGCACCCAACACTGAAATCCACTTTAGAGGAACACAAAATAAGGAGGTGTATACAACAGCAAATGTATCTTCAATCAGCACACAAATTATATATGCACAGATGACAAACTGAAGTTAAAAAACTTAGAAATAAAGTTGCAGTCTGGAGGTATTAATTTTATTCTATACAGGAGACTTTATTTAAGCCCATAAAACCCCATGACAGTCTTTCGTATATAACCTGGGAGTAGAAACACACACATTGTCTCCATCTCTTTCTGTAACAACATAGTATTTGCATACAGTTACCTGGCATCTTTAAGACTGTCATGGAAAGCAGAGAATTCCTTATCTCGTAAAGACTGAAGAGCATCATACAAAGATTCATGGTAACCTGGTCTTCCCGTTTCATCTCTAAGAAATAAAACAAAAGTAACATAAAATAAAAAGAAAAGTACATTTCTCTACATCAATTTTATCTTTATGATATATATTTTCAGTTGTAGATTTTCTGCAGCTGGATTGCTATTTTGCATGATAAAAATAATGATGCAATCTTTTACATTTTAAATTAATTTAGCATTTTATAAATTCAAGCTGTTCTTTTTAAACAAAGAAAAACAGTAATTGTCGAAATGTTTGGAATACAGAGAACATGTTTACAGTTGTATCAAAAATATGCCACAAACTCAACTGCACAATAAAAGTTTAATCATAATATCTGTCTCAGTATTATGCTGAAACATACATATTATAGTATATATGCAACTTCAGCTAAGAATCAACAGTTTTATACAGGTAACTTCAAAAATATTCTTAAAATGGAAAAAATAAATAAAATCAGAAGGTTAAAAAAAATTCATAGCGTTCAATAGAATTTTCCCTTCTTTGCCCTTTTGGCTTTTCTTTCTCCTTCTCCTTGGCCCTCCTCCTCTTTCCTGCCATCTCTCTCATCTTGCATGTTCCTTTGCTCCTGTATTAAAGGTGACTACTCCATTTGCCAAGGAGGGTTATACAGACCCTAACCCAGGGACAAAGAGAGCACACCTATAAGAAATTTGTTCTGATTGTGGCATAACAAATGCCCTTCAACAGGCTGTTCATGAAGTTCTCCAGATGAGTCTTATCAATGATTTCATGACAGTGCAGGAGAAGACAATGAACACACCAGGAGTGTGTTCCCCAGAACACCTCTCTGTAAGTCTTAGGAGAAAAATCCTACATTCTTCTGACTACTAAAAGTTGATGTAGGAGGAGACCCCACCATGTAACTTTTGCTTTACCAAAATGTAGTGTATCTATTCTGTATTCTTCCTAAAACATGCCACAATGCACCTGTACTAAGAAGGGACAGACAGATTCTGGCTAGTCACATAAAATATCTACTGCCATATATGGCATATCCAGTTACACATTAAGGGAGGAGATTACTCCTTATGAGGGAGTAGCCATAAATCAATACTGGTGTTTGCCTATCCAGGTCTTGATAACCTCTTGTGGCTTATTAAGTAATATTTTCCCCATTTCCTTATAAATTGGACATTAAAAACTATCTAACCCTCACTTGTACTTGAGGTAAGTTTACTATCCGAGTCAAAAATAGAAAATTTCAGTTCACAATTATGAACAATCAAAAAGAATTACCTGCGTACAGTTTCCCAGGAAAATGGAAAGTGATGTGCATACAAACCAGAGAAGTGTAAGTGAAAAAGACTGCTTTTACATTCAATTATTAAGACAAATTAGGTGACCTGCTTCACAGAAACTACATTCTCACCTTGTTCTTTTTGCTTGGATCTGACACCACTGCCTTTTGCTTAATAAACTAGCAAAAGTTGGTTTACCTGACAAAAGAGATGTGGCCCCACTGCATGTTCCTCCATGCTGCCTGGTAGCGCATTTCCTGTAGTTCTGTGCACCACTCAGTGTTTTCACGTTCCAGCCCTTTTAAATACATGGAAAGAGTGTGGCAAAGACCAAAATTCTGCAAAGCCTGGAATTAAGAAAATTACTAGAAGTTGGTTTTCCTCCTTTATCAAACTGAACTAGTTTTTTTAAAGGCTTTGTTTTACCTTTGCAAACAAAGAAGCCTTTGCAGGTATGACAGGACCATAAATATTTCTAAACTCAGCACTACATAACATGAAAACTTTTTAATAAAACTACTAATCCCACTATTGATATCTGCACCCCCAGGAAAGCAGTTTCATTACTAAACCACCATGGGTGGCATCAATTCTATTTATTTATTGTATCAGAAATACCACAGTTTCAGTCAGATACTTGCCACAATGGAGAGGTTTGAAGAATGAGAGAGGAAAAGTAACCAATTACATTACTTTTCATATCCTGTGATTTTAAAGAGCTGGCCTTAAGTATTTCACAAAATTCATCACCCATGACTTGGGTGAGTGACAAGAGGAATAGGAACCTTAATGTTTTCAGGACAAATATTGAGTTGTCTTATATTACACAGTTTGGATGTGTATGACAGTGGGCTGGACTTGATGAATAAAGGGATTGCTTTCGGTCCTAAAACAATTTTGGACTTAATACAAATGACTCAGTATGATGGATATCAATTCTTACATTTATTTCCTCTTACAAAATAGGATTACCTCTATTATTCCTGCCTGGCGAGTAGATGGAGAGAGGCTTGTCTCAAGGTCATATGTTACAAGGGCTTTCTCCCATACTGCTTCATGCTCATATGTTCTTAGCCTGTTGTAAGTTAACAGGATGTTTTCAATTGAAGTTCCTTATTAATAAATGAAAGCAATGACTCTAAAGAACATAAGAACATTAATAAATTATACCGCGCTAATGGTTGTAACATTCTTCCTCCACCACAGCCATAGAGACTGTCAGGTTCTCCAATGCTTCTGTATATGTCCATGAGAAGGTCCTAGAAGATGCACCACAAAACTGAAGAGTTACTTTTCTTTGGAACCAGTTCAAGTTAGTTTCACATATATTGTGTAAGTTTGTAAATATGAGTCCTTGCATGCAACACTATCATTGCTAAATTTTCCTTTATGCAGTAACTGAGCCTGCTATCATCATAGGAAAAAAGTTATGCAGTCTAGAAAAACTCTTCAGGACTACCTACCTTCCCGGCTAATTTATTAAACAAAAAAACAGAACTGGGCCTTAGGTGGACTGGCTGAAAAGCAAAAGGCAGTAGTACTGAATGAGCATCAGACATACCAGCTAAGCAATGCATCTTAAAAGTTACACAAGCGCAGTTCTGGAATAATGAACAATGCGAAGAAGTAACTTAGACAAGGTTACTGGATCAGATTTGATATACCAAATAAACTTGCAAGAGATACTACTGCTTTGGTTTTGATTAGTACAGCCTCCCACACCACATGTTCATTTTTAATGAACATATATCTCTGACAAAACAAACTGAAAAATACTTGGCTAGTTATCACCATGAGTTCAGTTCTTTCAAGGAACAAAGTCTGCTTGCTGTGATGTAAAATTTGCCAGTTAATTAGTGTTTCAGGTGAACGAATACTCAATTTAACTCGTCTAGAAGGCTACTAAGTTCACTTTGAATTAAAGCATGAGGAGAACTTTCAAACACAATTTTTGAATTCAATTAGATCTGCCTTCAACTCAGATGAAATCTACTCTTAATAATAACTATATGAGAAGTTTTGCTTTCAGATTATGAAGCACACATGTACCTGTAAACTTAAGCCAGTTTCTTCTTTACTTTTTTCGTTCAAAGTAGTAATAGTTGTTTTTTGACTTTCTTCTTCAAATGTCAAACTCTTAGCTGCTTTAAAAGAAGATCTAAAAGAAAAGTTTCAACCAATAAAGTTAAATTAAATTTCATACGAAGAACTAAAGAAATTCTGAAACAATACTTAAAAAGTAAGCAACTTAAAATACTTTAAAAGTATTAAAAAGTATTAAAAAGCAACTTTAAATACTTAAAAAGTAAACAACAAATGCAAGACCATGCCTGTCATACCCCTAAATCATTCAAAATAGCTCTCCACTCGAATAATGATCAGCTGAACTGAGAATATCAATGTCAAGGGATTTTAACACCAAGGTGTTTTTTCAGAGATAAAAAAAAAAAAACCTTGTAATTTCCAATATTTTATTAGATCAAGTTGCTTTTGTGAATGGCTGAAGCATTCTTTCTTCTGTCAAAGAATAAAAGCAGTTAGTTAATGCATATGCTTATAATCTTCCTCTTGTTATATTTTCACTACCTTAGAGTTATTTGTAACAAAAAGAGCTTCTAAACTAGTTCCATATTTTGATCTTGCTAGACCAGAAGACAAAAATAATTGTCCATTATAGAAGAAAACTCCTTCTCTACAAGGATCATTCAGCTCAATCCACACACAATTCTGGTTATCATTCGGGTGTTTCCTTCTTTCTTTGATTAACTTCTGGCTTTAATTTAACCAATAGCACTAAGAAAAGTTTCTGATTATGGGTCAACGTGGTTTGGATCACATTCAAGGATTGGTAAAATATTTTCATGTCCATACATGCACCTATGGAATATTTTTAAAGCTTCCTTCACTTTTCACATAACAAAACACTACTGGGATGCACAAAACATGACCCATTTTATCAGAAATGTCAAGAAACTGCACTCCTCAAGCCTCATACCTTTCTTGCTGTTTGTCTCTGTTTATCTTGTCTGCGTAGATTTCTGCGTAGAGCAAGGCTGTGAAGTGAGCAGCACAAGACTGTGCTGCTATAGCAACCTCAAGATAATTCAGATCCAGCCAGAAGCTGTCATCAAAAACTGTACCTGAAGCAGATCTGATTAAATAAAGACTTTAATACTGCTGCAACAGACCTTCTCTCTAACATTAAACAAAATAAATCCAAACTAACTATAAAGCTTTCCAAAGGCTAATTTTATTTTAGCACCCCCCTCAAAACCCAAACTACAAGAAGTTTATCAGACAACAAGTTTTTAGAAAACTCCTTCAACACAGTTAGAACCCCTTAAGTCCAGCTATATCACTTCTGTAAAAAATGCAAGGTCACTACTGTATCTTCATTCTTTTGACTGACATGTTCTCTATCATGTTCTTCTTTAATCTAGAGCATCAACAGATCTCAGAACAGTCATAATTAAATTAAAGTAACATTTTGGAAAGTGATAATTCACCTCTTTTGTCTTCTTAAGTAATCAACAACAGCAAGCATGGCTCGTCGAGATACTTTATCCAAACTTCTAAAATTATGGGTTTCTTGCTCTGGGATGTATATTTCAAAGGAAAGAATATAATGAACTTTTGTCATAACATATTCTTTTTACAAAATAAAAAGGTCTATTTTGTACTCAAGAAAGTAACTAAAAACTTCCTTGGATGGCATTTCCAAAATTAAACTAATAGTTTGTCACAAAACATATTTTTCCTCCTTACACTATGTTAGAGACACTAGAGTAGTTTATACCATAATTTTATCAAATTATCTTTGTATTAATAATTTATGTATTATATTTCTTATTATAGAACCCAGAGATGAACTAACATGATTGCACAAATCTCCATAACAGACCTCTTCTCTTAGGCTTGAGACATATAAAGTTATTCCAAAGTCACAGAAATACTTGCTAGTAGCGTTATTGCAGATTTTATAGTGTGGATGCTTACACAAAAAACACTATTTCCCACATAGAGACACATTTAATTTATATTTCTACACCTTGCTTCCGGATTAAAAAAAATAAAATAAAATCAGATGGCTACAAGTTGTATTCCATTCACTTGTCTAATAATTTCTCCATTTTTCTGGTAATTTTTGATTTCTCAGTTACAAGAAGGAAGAAACAGGGAAGCATAACCAAAGGTTTGATTACTACTACATTACAGTGAGATGTGGAACTAGCAATTTCCCCTAAAGAATGCAAAAGCCATATTAAAGAAGAAGTATCTGGGCATTTTGTGTGCTTCAACAAACAGAAATGGATGACACTTAGTTTCCACTGCTACCAAAGATCTGACAGAAGGAACACCAGCTTCTTTTTAAGTCATGTCCCACATGCTTAACTTTCAGAAGACATGCAATGGGGACATTTGACTCTCAGTTCCTAACGCACCATGATGTTTTTCCCTCCATTCCCACGTGCTGCTCTCCTTGGCAATGGAGACAGCACCTCACAGGCAGGGTCCATTCTGTTGGACTGTACAATCAACGCCCCAAAGAGCTTGCTGTTTCCTCTTTCATTATTTCATCAGATGAACAACTAAAAATTTCTGAATGAGTTATATTTGGGTACTAGAAAGTATTAATGAGTTAGGGGAAGAAAACAGTTATTCTTAGGGCTTTGTTGAACAATAGGCCAAATTACAATAATGGCAACTGACAGCATGGAGTTCATACTCACTAACAAGAAGCTTACAGACATAAAATGAAAATGGTGCCTGTTTTTCATGGCATCAGATCGAAAATCTAAATGCTAAGGAGTAATAACTGGACAGGTATTTAGAAATATTAATTCAACAAAAAAATTACATCTCTTCTGCAAAATAACAGATTCAACTGACCTATTATTCGCCAGACCGACATGCACTAAGTCCAAAATATTCACTATTTTTAGTTTTGGTGGGTCTGACTCTAGTCAAGCAGTTGGCAATTCACAATTAGGTTTGGTTTCTCAGGCAGCGCAGTGATTGGCATGATGTTCACACCATTTATGCTTTAAACTGCCAATTTCTACAACTTGAATGTCAAAATGGATCAACGCTAAGACTCTTGTTCGGACACCCTCGACTCTCTCATGTCTAACTGCCTGGTCTTTCCTAGTTTGGATCCTGATGGATTGGAATTAATTTAGGTTTTCTTTGATTGCAATCTAATTGGAAAGAATGCCAACAGTTTGATTAGAAGGTGCCTTCCTTTTAAAGGAACTTACTGCATTATTTATATGCTGCTGCAGTACTTTTGGTTACAACTTCCTTTCATTCTGCTGGAATGGAACAGGTCTTTTGAATGTATAGGGAGACCATTATCAATATTTGGCAGAAGTTAAAGAAAGGGTTAGTCTTCTCCAAGGAGAAAATACAGATAAAACTGCTTTTTATCGCTCTTGTTTGAGTAAGAGAGGAATTTAACTGCCGATTAGTCATTTTAAGAGACAGTCCACGACTCAAGTCTTGCAGCACACAACATTGCATAACATCTAAATTCAGCAAGTAATAAATATCATCCAGTTGTGAATAAGGAAAAAAGTTATACTGAAGAAGCTGCTTGGATGCTGCCAACGAACAGTTTCAAAATTAACGCCATCTCCACTGAAAAAGATCAAACAATTGGGCAGAAGTTTCTAAAATTCAGTCTGCCTGCAAGTGCACATCATACATTTGATGTCAGGAGATAGTTTTTTCACAACCAGAATTCCACTTTTAGTTGAAACAAAAATATCATGACATTACCTGAATCAGAATTTGGAGTAGATCTACTAGACGAGGCAAATTTGCAACAGGCTGTAAAAAACTTCTGGATATGAAGTGACAAAAGATTTCTCCAAGATTCATCTGAGTCATGAAGAACTATATCATGAATCAAGTATGGAAGCAAAGTTTGACACAAGTCTGTTTTCACCTAGAAAACAACCATGCACAGCAGCTGCTAAGAAAGACAATGGAAAAAACCTTTCTTTCTCTAGGTTACAACCAAACTGACAACTACTCAAACAAACATGCAATGTTTGAGAAAGAACATGTAATATGAATAATGTAAACCACTCAACGGGGCTGTGCTGGCATTCAGCTAAAGTAGCCACATAAAGTTCATCTATGTTACAATCATCTCTCAAAACTTGTATTTCAAGAATATATTTTATGAGTATCTGCAATATATGATTACAAAGGTTCTGAATTATCTAACAGAAGAAATTACTATTTGTTATCAAGATAAGTAATCATATTTTTTATGCATCACAGCACACACATACATACATACATGTGTATGATTTAGCTCACCTCACACAGTGGCTTCATTAACTGTAGAACTTCATTTTTCACACCTCCACTGTCCAATATCGAACTAGTTAGGCACTTGATCCAGGTCTCATGACTTTCTCCCAGAGGAATCCACAGGTTTGTGTCATCCAAAGTTTCTAAACGAGCCTCTGTATCATTAGCAGATACTACAAGAAACTAGAAGGAAAATACACATATTACAAACATAAAAAAATTCTAAGGCACTTAAAAAAGCCATATGGCAATCTGCACAGACCAAAATATATTAACTATTACTGATGCTTCAACTGACTAACAATATCAATTCTGTTTTCAGAAAATCTGAAAGTACTAAAACCAGAATTTTACTGATAATATCAACAAGGTCACTGTAGGCATCATGTTTAGGTCACAAATCAAAAGTTTCAAAATGAGGAAATATCTGATTCAAAATATCTGATTTGCGGTTAATTATGCACTTTTTTCCTGACTTATTTTCCACCGATTTTTTGCATCAAATGACACTAGAATCCTGAGAAAGTGTGTATTACATTCATCAAAGCCTTTAAAAAAAATCTATTTTTATTTTTTCTCTACCCTATATGCTATATATATGTAAGACATATCAGAAGTACCTTTTTTCTAGATGTTCTGAAAGGCTGTAGATAGATTAACAGGGGATCAGCTTTACTTTTATAAACTTCCCAAAATTCACTTCCAGACTCTGTGGCTAATATGTTTTTCAAACAGGAAACAGCAGCAGCTCTAACACCAATACTAAAAAAAATAACATACACAACATCTTTATTATTAATTTAATTCAGATATTTGACTTTCAAAATCACCTTTATAAATATACAAGGCAAATAACTCCACAGTCCGTGTGCGCATCAAATCAGAACATTTTGGAATAGGATGTGCCATTGCATATTTTATTATAAAACAAAGCCTGATTATTTCCTCCACAGCACTGCTATCCTGTACAGCACAGAGGAGACTCTCTGGCTTGAGTCCAACTAGGGAATTTCTAGGAAACATCTAAGTTTGACCGGGTAAGTAATGCGAGTCTTGAAGTAGCACATGGTTAGACACTAACAGGTGTTAGTAAAACTTTCAGAGAGTTACTCTGAGCTGATTTGAACAACATACAACTTAAAGGCTCCTATTAAGCTTTGAGGTAACTAAATAAGTATACTCACCAATTATCTGTTAAAGCAGTATTTATTTGAGTTAACATTATGAAGACCCACTGACGTTTTCTATCTTCAAATAAGTCTGCTGCTCTAGAATCCAGTGCATTTTCAGCACGCTGAAGAGCTATGGTGGAGAAATCCATGGGACCTATTTCTCCCAAGCAACTTCCAACAGCCTCTGCAAATGCAAGTAGTTTTACAGTCTTTCTGTAGTTTTATGAACAGTAAAACAAAGTCTCACCCTACTTTTAGAACTGAGATTGTTATGGGGTAAAAAGCTGCAAACATTATAAATAATCACTTAAGGAGCTTTATGATTAAAATTACATGTTAAAAAATTTTGCAGCATAAGACTCGCAAAAGTTATGCTTTTTAACTCAATTTTCTAGGAGTGCCTATGGCTCTGGATGTTCCAGTTTATATCGGATAAGAATTTTATTTTTGCTTCTGTCAGAAACAGGCAAGTGCAAAAGGTCAGAATCGTTCATGTTCATTCCCTAAGGGTATGGTAAATACAAACAGTAGCCTGTGTAAGCACAAACCGTAGACTGCAAACTCAGTCAGAATTAACCTACATTTTACATAAAATGATGTACCTATGTGTCCCTCATTTGTTTTGCAGACAAAATACAGAAAAGAATAAAACAAAACAAAATTGACCTTGAAAATAATATTTAAAAAGGCATGTTAATGTTCACCAGAAAGAAAACAAAATCTATTTCCCTGCTCTTTCTTTCAAACTCTGCATGTGCATGGAAAATGTTTCCACCTTCTACAACATTGTTTTAACCACCAGAACAAATAAAGAACACACTGAAGATACACAAGTTGGGTTTTGAACTAAATCTGACAAATCACCTAAGGAAACACAATGAAGAGAAGGCTGAAACCTGCAGCTTGCAGAGGTGCTAAAGAATCCACTATACTGAAGTCAACATGAGTATTTAGTTCCTCAGCATTTGTAATTATCAGTCATTAGTCTTTCAGAGAGACAATATATCAGGTGTACATATAAAGGTGTTTCTGTCTAGTTTAGACATCTAATTTCAGTAATCACCAGCTTCGTGGAGGTAGTCTCCACTTAGGCAAGAGGGGATTTGGATTTTAGCTTTGGATCAAACATTAACCAGGTGGTCAATGTAAATGGTGAGAATAATTTTAATAACACAGAAGAGGCTTTAAGATGGAGAACAATTATTTTAATTTCCACTATGACATGCCTACAAAATTTTCAGATAAGTTCTCTTCAATTTTTTGTATTATTTTTCAACCTAATAAAGTGACCCATAGAAACAGATGACTCTTTACTGCATATAGAACAGACCAGAGTCTAAACTGATTGCAATTTAAATTATTAGTCAAGGCTTTAAAATACAGTGACTGAATAGAAGATATATCAACCATTTTAACAATCCTGATGGCTACCTCTGGCAGGTAACGCAAAATAGCAGTGGGAAATAACATTGAGAACAGCCACAGTTTCAGGCTGGTTTTTGTAATGACAGCCCTAATTAGCCTGTGGGAGTAAAGAACTTACCCAGAACTGCTTTTTCTCCTGTATGGTTAACTGCCATCTTGGACAGCTGCAGTAAATTCACCACTAATTTCACTACTACAGAATCTTCTGGCTTTTCTATCATTCAGAAAGAAAAAATAAATGCCAAAAATGTCAGTGTAGTTGTAATGTGAACATATTAGAAAGAAAGCACTGCTTCAGTGTCTTTTATCTACCAATGTCAACACGCATTATCAATGTTGAGGCACGTTGGTATTAAACAGTACATCAAAAAAATTTTTCAGTTATCTTATTAATTGTAACTTGAAAGTATTTCTATGCATTTGACTATGCCAAAGAATCCTCAAAACTGAAATACACAAATGCTATTGTTTTCAGCATTTTGATGCAGAAATGATGATTAATTACATGAAATATTAGCATAAGTTGGTGTAAGAGTGCTGTTTGAAACAGTGAAGTCATATTGTGTGATTCCACTGACAGCCCTTAAACTAATATCATTCTGTTCTAAATATGAATCCAAGGAATATCTCAAAAATAGGCTTTCTGCAAGGAACTTCTCAGAATTTCACTAGCTTTCAGTTGTCTAATCAACCTTGCCAAACTACAAACTCTCATGGTGGGCATTTCCTTACATATTTGCTGCCTGCCTGAGGTCTTTATTTTAAATAAACATGCCAAACAAAATGTTCTAAGAAAAAAATATGACGATCTGCCAATGTAAGAAAAAAAAACCCCACAGCAGTATTTTCTTAAAAATCCCACTGCTATGTTGATTGGAATGGAAACCTGGGATAGGGCTATATGCTTGTTGACACCTTTATAAAATTGAATACATGTGTGGTCAAACTGCAACAGTTATTTCTTAAATGTCAGCTTTCAGCATAGAGTTGTATAGCCTTTATCAATAATAGGTTTGCTTCTTTTTACAAAATAAGAAATACTATTACTATTATTATTATTGTTATTATTGTTGTTGTTCTTCTTCTTCTTCTTCTTGTTATTATTATTATTCAGTGGTTAACAGACTTCTAGTATAAGGTAAACTCAAGGCAACAGGCCCATCAAGCCTGCCAGCCTGCCTCCAGCAAAGCAAGAGAAAGTACTTCCCAGGTTTTGCCTGAGCAGATCTTCATATCTAATAAACTTTATAAGATATATCTAATCCTTTTTAAGGTCTGTTATGTTTCTAATCTCCACAGTAAGTAACAATAAGTTCCAGGCTGTATATATTTTGAAAAAATGACATGGTTTCTCCCATATAACTGCTGTGAGATAATTTAATCTGTTGTCATAGAAGTGATAGGTACTCCCTACTCAGCTTCATCGTACCATTCACCAGTTCATACACTTCACTCCTATTCAATCTCTTTTCCAGTGTCACAAGGCTTTCCTCCAATGGAAGTTGCTCCACACAAGCTTGCTGCCCTTCCACTAACGCTTTTCAAGCAGAATTTGGAAACTAAAATTGTAAATTATATTCAAGATGTGGGGACATTATGCACTTGCACTGTGGCCTTAAAACAGACTACTACTCTTCCCCAAATTTTAGTCTGCACTTATTTACAATTAATTACATCAGCTCTTTTTATCTCCCCCTCATGCACATAAGCTGATGAAGACTTGATGTAGAGGTGAAAAGTGAAATGGTATGCCACAAGCATCTGCAAAACAAAATAGAAAGGAACTGGGTGTGGACTGAGGGCTGCAACAGCATCCTGGGATGTGGCAAGGTTCAACTAAATTCTACCATTTAAAAACTTCTGAGAGCTTTACTTTCTAACATACTATGACTTTAATAAAATGTAGCTTCATTACATTTAAAAGAGTAGGGAGATTCATAAAACAAGAAAACTCATTAAGCAGCCATAAAACCATATACTCATATTATACGTTATCCTGGGCATTCACAATCATACATGCCCCATGCCAAAAGCTGGAAGGCTGTTTTATTCTCTCTACCATGTAACACCTCATATAATATTTATAAGACACTATGTTACAGATACTTCAGATTTTACATGAATAATAAATGTAATTTTACTTTGCATGTAAAACTATAATAAGGTTACATTGTTAAACATACAAAAACCTTGACACAAAATAAAACCTTGCTAAACACCTAAAACCAGATACAAAAGAAACAAAACACATATATGGGTACCCTGGAAATTTTTCAGGAGATCCTTCATCTGATCTTTATATTGTTCCAATTGTTTGCGTAAATCATACAGTCCTTCAAGCCGTGTTAAGGGCAGTGAATCACAAACACCAACTGAGAGAAAGTGATTAATTTCCTGCAAAACAACATTTTGTACTAAGCACATATAACAAACAAATATAAAAGCTTCAGGCAAAGAAGTGGCTCTCAGCAGTCCACAAGGTGGATATTAACAGATGCAAAGTATGAATAGAAACCTACAAATATCTCAGTCTCTGAAAACCGGCAATAAAAAGAATCTACGTCTAATTTAAATATTTCTCAACTGTAGCTAGGAAATCCTTTTTATTTTGTAAGTTTGCATTACCAAAAACACTATGTCATGAGATATATTTTAAAATGTAATTACCTCCAAAAGAGAGTATGGTCCTTTACTGTATTTTATTTTCTGCTGAGTTGCTCGCAAATCTTTAAAAGCTGGATATTCAGGAAAAGGATCTAAGCATTTGATTGCATGATAAAGATTTTCATTATCCTTATTATCTATCACCAGATACTTCAACAAGCCTAGGACCTGTATATAAGAAGTAAATAAAACCCAAAAATTACAGAGAAACATTAAGAAACAATAAGCCATATTTCTTATTCAGGCTATAATGTAGCTCTCCAAGTTCCACTAAACTGCTAAGATAATTTATTTACACTGATAAAAGCTGTAAGACGTTTAGAGGCTTGGGGAAATGACAGACATATTCTAAAATGGCGAGGCATTTTTGCTACTCTCCCTTCCAAACAAAAATCAAAGTTTTTACTATCATGGACTGCAGTTCTATCCTGTTTCTTGATGGAGTTGATCTCAAATACTGGCCAATACAATCACTATGATATTGACAACGATTTAGCAAAACACTGCACCCAAACTGTTCTTCTGATGTTATCAAGACTTTATTATTCTCACTAAAGTGCTGTTAAATTGAAATTCAGATCAATATCATAACTTATAGCCCAAATCACTGAACTCTGCAGAATTTGTTTTATAACAGATCCATAACTTGAATAAATGCTTGACAAAGTGGTACCATACTTTCTTTGCAAAAACACTGCTTTTATGCTTAAAAATCAATGCAACTGGATATTCAATCCAAGCTGCTTTGAGGATTCTACAATCTAAATCATGATGTTTTTATTTGAAGACCTGTGTTTACCTGAAAATTATTAATTAGCCTCCATTTAATACTAGAAGAAAAAATAAAAAGAAGAAAAAGTGATCACTAGACGGTGGGCTTCCCTGCAGGAGTATGATATGAGAGGGTTTCATATTTGACATCAGTTCCAATTCAGAGAAATTTCTGTCCTCCCCACTTTGTTCCTGCTTAGGGGTGCCCCGACAAGTTGCCTTTGCAGTTGTGCATGGACAACTGTTTGCATCGACATATTGTAAATCTGATCACGATCATTAAGCTGGGAAAAAAAACCTGCCAAGTTAGTTTCAGCTGGATCAGCAGAGCCCTCCAGCTGAACTGGAAGGACAAGGAGAAGGATAATGTAGAGTTACAACGCAACCACAAAGGTGCATATGGTACTGTGGGATCAGATTAACCCAGAAGGCAACATGACGACTGAAGTGCAACAGGTATACTCTGGAAAATAATGCTTGTCACACAACAGAAACTGCTTTGTTTCCCTTTTAAGGCCTATGTACAGGATTTATTTTTAAAGATTATTTGTTAAATAAATAGCTGAACCACTGAATTCTGTTCTCTGCATACTTTTCCTCTTTGTCCTCTATACACCTTCTCATACCAAAAGTCTTTATTCGTATTTCCTGTGAAATCACCCACAGAGCTTTATAAGTAACTGTTTAGCTACTCAACGTGCTATTTGGCAGAACAGAAGTACCAAAAGTGAAGATGCTTTTATTTAAAAAATTAAAGGCATACTATCCCATCCCAAATAGTAATTTTTATGTAAATCTCCAAATCATAGAAAAAAGGAATTAAAATTGAACATGAGTATAGGTACAGCTTTAACAACTGTGAACATGAACTAAGAAGCTAACAGATAAGGAATAAGCAGCAATGCAAAACTACCTGGTCCTGAATCTCAGACTGCTTCATGGCAAGAGGTATTAGGGTTCCTACAATAACATGAAGGTGTGTCTCTAGAGCATCACTGCAACACGTAACCGCTGTGTGGCAAACATGATGAAGGAGATCACAACAGACTGAAAAGCTGCGCATGGATATGTCTCTGATAATAACAGGTCTGTCGTGGGAAACAAAGTGAAATACACATGGTCATTGTCTCAAGTATCAGCCTATTACACAACAGGGAAGAAAAAGGGAAAAAAAAAAAGATAAAATAAGGAGGAACTGATTCTCAAGTCTAAAATTTATCAATCAGCTCTATGGACTTAGCTCAGGAGACATAGAAAAACTTGACATAGAAAAACACACTGAGTTTGACTTATCACTTTAAAAAATGGAATAAAATCTTGTAGAAAAATATATACCAAAATGGAAAAAAAATCAAAAAAAACCCAGAAAAGGCTTTTAGACTACTATTTGCCAGAACAATGTTGACAGAAACAGAACAAAGGGGAAACCATGCTCTCTGAATCCTCCTCTATCTAAAATAACCATTAGTTAAAAATAAAATTAAATATTATGTTACAAAGGCCACCTGGGGATTATCTAGTCCAGCTTCCTGCCTGAAGCAGGCTCAATTTCAAATTCAGATAAGGTTCTCAGGGTTTTGTTGAACTGAATTTTGACATATTCCTTGGATGGAGAAACAACAGCTTCCCTGAGCAACCTGCTCCAGTATTTAACTATTCTCACTGCAAAAATCCTTTCCCTTACATCCAACCAGAATTTCCCACCTTGCAACTTGCTGTGTTGTCCTTGTCCTTTCACTGTATGCTTCTAGGAAAAAATCTGACTTTACCTTTACTGTAAGGTGTCTTCCCCTCCAGAAACTGAAGAACAGAAATTAGATCAACTCTACCTATCCCCTCCAGAGTCTTCCACTCAACCTATCCCAGTTTGTAATTATCTCTCAGGTCCTGGCTGGATGGGTGACACAGTGGTATTCCATCTCAGGTGAGAGACTTAACGGTTGCTTTAGTTCAGTTTCACAACGTACCTGTTGTCCCACTCTTACAGCTAGACAAGGTCCCTCTGAAAGGCAGCCTTGCCCTCCAGTGCATGGACTGTCCCTGTCCCAGTTCAGTGTTAGTTGCAATAGTAAGTCCTATAATAATGGCATTTACCATAAAATCCACACATCTCTTCAACATCTCGGCCTATGAAACGCTTCAAACAAGCAAAGCAATCAACTTGCACATCAACTCAAAGATATTTAGGTGAATAACTGTCTGGGAAATCCAAAGCTAAACATGAAGTAAGAAAATACCTTAGTCTTCTTATCTGAAAGACAAGGATCTCCATTTAAATCTTAGGCCTGATGAAGGACCAGTTTTCTCAATCTGAAGCAAGCTAGGATAACACGTACCAATTCATTTTGCTACGTACCCACCAGTGAAAATGTAAATGTCAATACTCTTTATTAATTCAATAAGCACATTTTATTTGACCTGTGCTTATTTTGCACTTAACTCTACATTTTGAATTTTTCTCCCATATCCCTTAAATTTCTAAACACCCTTTCTGTCATCAAAATCTCCCAACACTGTTTATTTGTACAATTTGATAGCCTATTACATGCTGCTGCAGTACAGTGACCATCTAAATACAAGGATAGTACAAAACATTCCATACTTTAGTAAGAGTTCTATATTTAAATTCTGAAATAATAAAAGAATGGCAATTTAATTTTAAATCTCAGCAAATTTTAATTAAGTCTACAAATGAATTCACATCTGCTGGCAATATTGAAATGTACGGTTCCAAGAATAAGGAAGAACAGACAGGAAGAACAAGAGATAATTACTGTATTTACCTGCTATTGATGTGGTGAATCAGGGTGTAAATTACATCTCGGAGTACAAAAGCCCAGGCTCCTCCTAAACCATCTTTTATTTCTTTAAGTAAGAGACCAACAAACAGGTGATAAATTAGAAGAACTCTGTGTTTCTTATAAACGTTGTTTGTATCTGATACATGCTTACAAAGAGCTAGAAGGATTTTCTGGAATGAATCCTAAAAATGAATAAATTTTGAGTAAAAAATTAATTCAAAATGTCAATACAGATATACCTTACATAAAGAAAAAACTTAAGCAGGATATATATATTTTGTTACAGGGCATGGGCAAAGAAGCTTCATTATTTTTATTGCTTTAAACAAACAAAAAACATGGAAACGAATTCTCTGAGCAGGACTATTAGCCACACATTGCCTCATTTTCTTTTTTTATTCCTCACAACATGAGAAATGTTATGCACATTTTTCAGAGAGCCAAACACTTATGGTAATTTTTACCAACAGAAGAAACATCAAACACAAAGCATTAAAACACTGGGTAATGATTCAACCTATATTCTTTCAAACATAATGTTAATTCGCACAAAATGCACTATTTCATGGAATATATCACTATAGACTGCAACTGTTAAAATTGTAAATTTAAAAAACCCATCATTTTAAAATACTAAAAAGTCTGGGTTACATTTGAAAAAACTTACTGCACTGGCTGGCAATATTAACTTTTACACTCAAAATATTTAGATGAACATGGTCCAGAAAAGTTTTTTTTTAGATTATTTATGGATAGGCAAAGTAAGTTCTTGACAACATATGCAACAAAATAGCATAACCTGAAACAGCTACGTTTCTAAGGAATAAAGTTAGAAGACAGTAATACATTCAGGTTTTATTGCAAGGGCTATATAATTTCATATGTCTTCATATTTGCCTTTAATAAATGAAGATCAAGTTTTGAAAAATATCACTGACTATAAAATTTCACAGTCAGTAAGAGAAGCTAACATTTATATTTTAATTGTAGGCCGTATTTAGATAAAATTTGCCATATGTAATTATTTTAGAATGTTCTTCGGACATATGACAAATATGTCACATTCTAAATTGTGTCCAGTATACGCAGATTTCCCCAACCCTTAAAATAATCCTCTCTACTTTATATATATTATATAATCCATATAATTATATAATTAACACAATTATAGAATACATATTATATAATGCATGTAATGCAACAATTAATAAAATACTATAATTATATAATGCACATAAATCTGTCCCTGAACTTACGACTTCTTCCATTTCAGAAGGCAAATAAAAGAACAGAAAAGGGTCTAAGGTTGTTTATTTTCCTCATATAGAAATGAAGAAAATGTCTAATTAAAACAAAATGTACCCATAATACAAACTCTACAGAAAAAGAAGTAATTATTACATACTTACAGGGCTTTTAGAAAGAACTGCTACAATACTTTTTAATTTGCTTTTATGACAGTTGCTAATATAGTCCAAGGTTGCCTTAATCACATAAGATGGAAAATGAGGAGGATTAGGAGCAGGATCCAGTTCCCTAAATGAATAAAAAGGAGATTTATATTTTTCTTCCCCAAAATTAAAAGACTTTGTATCTAATAGAGTAATTCTTTTTGAATAAACACATGAATTCCTAGAAAATTTTTTCTGCTTTCAGTAAGAAGTACCAAAAGCACCCAGAAAACTGACTTATACCTTATTTTGTAGCTGCTTATTGTCCTTCTATGGCAGCTTTCTAAGCTGTATTTTCTTAGCATTCTTTCATATTCTTTTGAAAGATCTTATTGCTAAAAACCCACACATTTGCCTATTAAGGTACTTTGTGGGAAAATCTAATCGCAAGTCATGGATAAAGCTTCTGCATTTTGTAATTGTGGGAACAATGTCATTGAGAAAAAAGTAATTATGAATCTCATCATAAAAAAAGGACAGTCAACTTTTCTGGGATCTCAAAAAGAAAAGAAATGCATCATGGTAGTAACAAAAAAGCAAAATCTAAGTTTCATCACTCTTTTCTTACCATTCCCTTCTTAGAAAGAAAAATTTTATTTAAAAGCAGACTCCACAGTCTGTTAATAAACTTACAGTAAAAAATTTCTTTAAAGAGTTTGGAAATCCTCAGCCATTTAACTTTTGGCAGATTTTCATAGGAATGCTTTGGTTTCCTTCAAGTTTATATTTCTAAAATAAAGATACCTTCTTCGATAACTTTAGGAAGTGCAATGTTTTTCCAAATAGTTTGTATCTTAACACAAATTACCTGAATTAACTGAAAAGTCAAATAAAAATGAAGATATTTATGGCATTAGAATATTTCTATTCATTAGGAATTTATTTGGCATTGCTTAACCAATCCCCTTACCAAAAACAAGAGCTTCCACTACGAGAACTGCTAAGAAACTTTACTTCTCAGTGACTTCTAGTTATTAAAGACCATTAAAAGAATCACCTTGGAGACTAAAACCTGACCAATTTTACAGAGAGGACAGTCCATCCAAATTTGAACTAATCCAAACTGGCACTGTCATAGTCCAGCTCATCAACATACAAGGGTATTCTCTTGCCCACACAATCATTCTTTCCATTAACTGAAGAATTACAGAGGTTCTCCTTCCTGATCCCGGTGAGTAACTATGCGAGAAAGCACGACTGTGATACATCATTAGTAATGACAATAAAATCCTTCAATTCTCAACTTCAAGGCCAGCTCTTATGCCTGAAGGGCATGTTTTAGTGCACCATGTTGTATAAACACACTCAGCATTTAGAAAATGTACAAATACATACCTTATGTATTTACTTAGATGAGCTCCTTCTTCTACCATGGTACCAGGTGGTTCATGTAAAGTCATCAACAGTTCAACCACAATCTCTGGTAAGTTATTATGAAATAAACTGTCAATTTGCTACAACAAGAAAAACAGTATTTTAATAAGAAAAAAAATATTTTAGCTAAAATGATTTAATATTTCTTTTCCTTCTGAGAAAACCTATTTTCTCCTGCCTTGATTCTCTATTTGTTCCTTTATCCATGACATACAATTTATTCATAAATTAAGCCTGGTTAAGCCTTATCTACGGCAGTCACAGGTAGAACAATTTACTTTCCTACAGCATATAGAAAAAAAATTATGTTTTACTACTAGTTCTGACTAGTCTGCCTCTGGAGAAGATGGCTCCTCATAAACCATTAACAAAATATTTTAAGAGGGAAACATGACAGATATATGACAGAGAAACTCAGGGTTATATAATGAATGGTAAAAAAAATTTACTGCATTCTGAAAAAAATTATAATTCAGTCAACTGTCTGCCTGAAAGTTTCTATTGAATAAGCTACTTGAAATCCTTGGGATAAAAATCTGGCTGGTTTGAATTCATTAAAATAATAATTTTGTATCTATAAATGAACTGTTTACATTTAGAGAACATAAAAATGTTTCTTTCTGGTCTGTTAAATGCTACAGAACTCAATTTACACATTTTAAATGGATACCTGTTTTCCTAAGCAGTTTTCATCCTTAAGCATGTCATAGACTTTAGAAGCCGTATCTCTTTGCTCCTCTACTTCACTCTTTCCATGGCTTTGATAGGCAAAATATGGAAGGATATTCACGAGCAACTTTGGAAAACAGTCTGCTAGAACCTGTCTCCAGTCTTTTTCGATCTTGTCAGCAAGTGACTTCACATCTTCAAAGTGACTTCTAATCACCAAGTGTGGAACCAGAACTTTATAACAAGACCTACACAGGGTAAATAGATTTCCAAAATGTCCTTGAACTGGTATTTTTAAAAAACCTTGAGCATCATATAGCAAATACCGTTCCTCTACTTTATAACAAAACTTACAATCATTGCTTAGCTACTGCTACACAAAAAAAAAATAAATCTTACCTGCATAAATATAATATACATGACGTTTAGAATATATTTCAAAAGTTCTCAATACGTTACCTTACAACAAAATCCTGATGCATTACTACGTTTAGGAATTTGGGACCCTGTGTCATAATTGTAAATAAAATCTAAATAATGCTTTCATATATAGCAAACTTACCTGTAGAATTCTGCAAGGCTACCATAGTTCAGAAGAACATAAGGAAAAGCAGACAGGCTATATCCACTGTCATTTATTTTCAGCCACTCCATCACCAAATAGTCTAAATGTGACATCATGAAGTCTTCTATACTTTTATAGCCAAAAATGTCAGATACTTTTTTCAAAACCTGTACATGAATTAAGATTGCAAAAATAGCATACTGAGTACATGATACCATGGCAAACTGACAGCATTACACCTCCATGTGTACCCCTCCATCTTTTAATGAATACTTGCATAACTCAGCTACTATTAGCATGAGCAAGTTTTTTTTATTATTTGTATTGCCACATCTCAGAACAGCGCAATCAAGGAATTTTGTGAAGTAGAGACTTTGTGTAAAAACAGAAGCAGCGAATAGAAAGAAATGATAAAAAGGAGAGAAAACATGCACTTAAAAAATGACTGGCATGAAAGGCAATCATTTCAGTATGCCCTTGTGAATTTCAAAACAGGCACATACCATGCTCCGACACTTTGCATTTATTTTACATATTTTCCACATTGGAAAATTTGCTTCCACTGGGTAGAAAATTTTTTTTAAATGAAATCTGCAATCTTCAATGTATAAAAGTCTATTTGTATTTCAGATCTGTGCTTTGAACACACATGATTTACCACTAAAATTGGCTTTTATGATGTCATTATTTCTATGTAAGCAGTTAGATATAATTACAAATTCATTCAGTTATTTAAATACCACATTAGTGATACCCTTACAAAATTTAACAACTTTCAACACTGACAAAGCATTTTGTACTCATCCAATTTTAGCCTAACCTACATATAAAATGGAATTTTATACTTGCCTTTTTCACCAGGTGAGGTTCTAATCCATTCTCTTTCACAGACTGGCAAACGGCAAACAAAGCTTGCTTTTCACAGACTGGACTGCAGCACAGAACCATGGTTATAAGCATCAGCAAAACTGCTTTTCCATTATGCTGTTTGTCCAAAAGATCTTCAGGACTTGCATCACCCCTGACCTTCAATAAGAAATAATGAAGAACTTGGACAAACATTCTGTTAAAGTATTCTCCTAATTAATAAATGAGCATAAATAATTTAAAGTTAAGGGCACTGACATAAATACTGCTGAAAATCTTGCTTTATTTGCTTAAAAATTACTTTCCCCAGCTGCCTGCTTCACTCCTCAACCAAAAGTTACTGCCTCCAGCATGCCAGCACACCTGCTGACACCTCATACACTCCAGTTCATATTATAATATCAGCAGTTTAAACAAATGCAACCCACTTAACAGAGAAATTATAGAGGCACAAGACAAGTCTCCTTTTTGCTACTCCCTGATGCATATAGGAAAGAACTGCCTTGCAATTCAAATGCAGGCATGGTGTTGACAAGTGATGAGTTTAAATAATATTAAGAAACTGCAATGAAAAGGCAGAAGCTGAGACAACACCAAACTGAGGTGACAGAAAAAGGAGCGAAGATAACATAGAAATAAGATGAGATGACAAAGAGCTGGAGGAAGCATTTCTGAGACAAAACACAATGACAGAGGGATGAAGCCTCAGCAGCAAGCCCACGCTACAAGACAGTGGGCAAAGGCAACAGAAAAAAATGCAGCAGAGAGATGACATGCAGATAGATGACAGCATGATAGAAAAAAAGTGGAAAATGTAGATGATGTAGATGACTTAGCAGGGTAGCAAGGAGGGAAGAAAAGTGAAAGACACTAAAAGAAAGATTAATAGTTAAAGAAATTCCACAGTAATATACCACAACGTTGTATTTCCAGTCACTGCACTGAAGTCAAACTTTTCCTTCATTTCAAGTTTCTTCTGAATAGTTTAGTTTTTTAAGCATATCTTAAGTTTTGTGAAAACCACTGCTCTAATACCTTTAGAAACATGATCTTTCTGAAATTTACAAACCTGGTTTTATTCTATGTAAACACATAACTTAATTTACACTGCCTCTTATTCACTATTTGTATGTTGTCTAGATTATCAAAGCTACATTTTTCTATGATTCTTAAGTGTTACAGCACTGAAACCTGCAACAACAAGTAGTATGATTCAGAAGAGCAGTCTAGAACATATAGTGAAAAAATTTACAAACTTCTAATGTGGGTAAAACAGTGAGTTACTGGGTGTGTAAGAAATTTCCTGACTACCGCTTTGTTTCACCAGTTCAGATTACCAGAAGTCCAGAAGAATTAATGTTCTTGGAAAACTAAACACAAGCATGTTAAAAGTAATTTTATTCATAAAATTAAAATTAGGCAAAACTAATGACTAGATGTTGGTACCAGGTTTCTCATTCCTTCTTGAACTCTGAGATAGGCATTCTCAAAAGCCTTTTGCTGGAGCTTCAAGGGAAGAGGTTTTGACATTCCAGAAGAATCTCTCTGTTTCACATCTTGAAACAAACTTTAAAAAAAAGAACAATCATTATTAGCATAACATGTCTACAGAGTTACTACATATTGTACTTATCAAATAATAATATTCTGATTTTCTAAATATAATTATTTTTTTCTTAATTTTCTAATAGAGCAGTTTCCCTCCACTCCCTTAAACATAATCAAGAATCTCTGTTGGGGTGAAATGGCAGAGAATCGTCTGAAAATACTTAAAAGTTTCCCAACCTTTGCCAATGCAAGAAGGCAAACTTCAGTTGTCCATCATAATGGAACATTTTATGTCATGAAGTATGTTGAGAGTGTATTTGTTGAACAGATGTGTACATAAAAAGAGTTTCTCAAAGAGCATATGTTTTGCAGATAAAGGCCCAACCCACTTTGCTCTTTGTAACAAATATGGGAACATCACAGTGAATCAAACCAAACATTACTCCAGCCATTTCTAAGTGACTATTAGCGTTTACCTAAGAAAGATCACCATATGCTTGCCTTGAAAGCATAATAATTCCTTGAATACAACATTTGATCACGGGTGACCTAGGCACACCATGAGTTAGAAGTGCTGACTGTATTTAGTATACTTCAATAATTTCCTCTTTCATTAATTTATTGCTTTTTGAACCACTGTAAATATTAAGACAGTTGAAGGTAGTAGAACAACACCGAGGGTAAGTTGTTCTACAAAGAAATAAACCACATTTTTTTGGAATCTTGAACCTGTTAGCTTCACTTGATGTCCCCTCGTCCTCAAACTGAAAAGACTGTCAATATTCACTTTGTTCTGATTTAGATTTTGTGGACTTATGTTATGCCTCCTGCAATTCAACTCTTTTTGTGCTGAAGGGCTTCATTTTATGCAACCGATAGTTGTGCATAAAGTGTTTCATACTTTTGAACATCTCTCCTCTACTCCTATTCCAGTTCAATTACACCCTTTTTGATGTATGGAGGAAGAACTATGTACAGTATTTAAAACATGAGATCCTTTTGTTGCAAAGCAATTTAAATTAGTAGTAGAATGGCTAAGGCTTAGTAGAAGAGTAGGCCTAGAAAGCAACACTCCAAAGTAGCAACCTTGTTTGTGTGAAGTGGAAACCATAATCAAAGGATCTAGTCAGGCATGTATGTAACGATTTGTTACCTAGGATGTGGTTAAGGTCTGTTAAACAGTTTCTAGGGATAAGACAACTTAAGCAGATTTATGATTGGAGTAGATGATTATTAATTGTTATCAGTATGAAGTATGAGCTTGTTTGCAACTGCACCTGGTTTGCTGTGGAAACTGTAACTGTTTTGCCGTGGAAACTGCACGTAAACTTGTTTGTGTATAAAAGCTGAACTGAAAATGAGGGTCTTCGGAATCCTGACTTTGGACGCTAGTCCTCAGGTTCCCGGGGCCCCGAATAAAGCACCGCATAAACCGGCACTCTGTTGGTTTGTGTTTCTTTTGGTTACGGGCAACAGTTTTCTGGCGACCCAGACTGGGGACTCCGGGGGTAGCTGGGGCGGCTCACGAGCTGATCTACTCCACGCCGGCAACCAGGTGATTTCTGGGGAGACATCGACCCGTGCCCGACCCCGCACCTGCCGGACAACCCATCCAGGTAAGCCCGGAGGTGCTTTATTCCTTTAGGTTTGTTGGTTGGGAGCCTGCCTATAAGACGGGACCGTGAGTTACCCGCTAGGTTGGGCTAAAGGTACCTCGGTTGGGAAGCCTAGGCGCTGGTCGTAAGACGTAGCGAAAGCCGCGCTGTACCAGCACTCGCCACTCAGAGGGAGAATTGGCGAGTTGGTTTTGGTTTTGGTTTTGGAATATGTAATTGGTTTATATCGTTGTGTTATTGCGCTGGTCGTAAAACGTATTGGTTTATATTGTTGTGCTATTGTGAATTTGATTTTGAATTCAGACTGTGGGGTGTGTGTGTGTGTGTGTGTGTGTGTGTGTGTGTGTGTGTGTGTGTGAGTCAGTATGATGCCGTTTAAAACCTTTAAGGCACTATCTTGTGCAGAAAATGATATCCCTAGCGATTCTCCGCTTGGTTGCTTGTTAAAACATTGGAAGGAAAGAAATTTCGGACAAGAGTTAAGCAAGAAACAATTGATTGATTATTGTAATAATGTATGGCCTCAATATGAGACAGAAGGAATGCAGTGGCCTAGAAATGGTTCAGTGACTTTGGAAATTATAACCCCCTTGATGCGATATTTACGAGAGAATGAAATATGAGATGAAATACCGTATCTAGACTTGTTTTATTATTTAAAACGTAAGACTGAATGGCAAAAAGAATGTGGTATGTTGATTTTGAAAGAATTAGATGATAAATTAGATTTTCCGTCAAGAACGGAAAATACGGTTTTCAGAACCAGAGGAGGATGTGTCTTTGTTAGTCTCCCCCAGCATAACTCCAAGTGCGCCCCCGAGAGATAGTCTCCCTTCACGTGTGAGGGCACAATCACCCACCATGCCCCCGCTAGAATCGTCCTCAGATGAGGAAGAAAAGAGAAAAGGGAGAATGTGATTTTGATAGAACTCCTTTAGATGAACGAACGCGGAGAGCACGAAGAGAACGAGGGAGGAGTAGAGAAAGACGGCGGGGGGGGGGGGAAAGTTGAGGGAAGTTTCGCTTTCACCCCCGAGATTAATGGCCCCTTCACGGGAAGCAGTTGGAGTGGACGGGGGAAAAGTCATGATGAAAGTTTCTTTTTTTACCTAATGATATATTAATTTGGAAACAGTCAGCTGGGTCATACAGAGAAAATCCGGAGCAGGTGACTTGTATTATAAAAATGGTTAGAAAAACTCAAAATCCGGACTGGAATGATTTACAGGTATTGTTAGATACAATTCTGGATTCAACTGAAAAAGAAATGGTATTAAGAGTGATGGTGGAAAGAGCGAAAGAAAGAATGCGAACTCTGCCCCGGGCGGCGGGGGGAACAGTGGATGATTTTGTGCCGCGGGAGGATCCCGGGTGGGATCCAAATGTGTCTGGAGATTGTAGAAAGTTGAGAATTTACCGAGAATTGTTGGTGGAGGGAGTGCAAAGTGAGATACCAGGGACGCTGGACTGGTCAGGGCTGTGCTCGGTGGGACGGAATAGGGGAGAATCTCTTTCAGCCTTTTTAGAGAAGTTAAAAGAGGAACCTCTGAATGAAGTTAAAAGTAGCAAAAAAGAGGAACCTCAGAGAGAGATTACAAATAGCCCTCTGATAAGAAGATTAGTAAAAGGTGACTTTGAGGCTAGGACGCTGAGGATTCCCCCTGAAAGTCCCTTGGGGAACCTCTTAGAGAACCGGAGTTGTTATTCCAGCACTTATAGAAGATCAAAGGAGAAAATGATTAAGTATTGTATTGAAGTGTGGGGAGGTAGAAGAATAGGAAATAATACTTACTGGCCCATATATGGTACTTTTAAGAATTGGGTCTGTGAACTTTTAACTTGGTATGTTAGCAATAAAAACCCTTTTGCCCAGAGGAGAGTTTTTATGCCGATATATAGTTAGAAGCCAGTGAAGATATTTACTTGTTTTCTTTAAGAGAAAGAAGGAGCACAACCCTTTAGAGTGCGACAATACCTAATTAGTTTAGAAGCCAGGAAAGGAATAGCTCCTATGATCACATAGTTTTTAATTTTAGGGATATTAAAAGAATGTGAGTCAGAGTTTAATACTCCCATTTTTCCGATAAAAAGCAAAATGGTAAGTATAGGTTAGTGCAAGACTTTAGAGCAGTAAACCTCATCACAAAAGATATCCACCCGGTTGTAGCTAACCCTTACACCTTGTTAACATCTGTTTCTGAGAGATTTCAGTGGTTTACAGTGATTGATCTAAAGGATGCCTTCTTCTGCATACCACTGGCACGGGAAAGTTGGAAAATCTTTGCCTTTGAATGGGAGAACCCAGAGACTGGACGGAAGCTACAACTTACTTGGACTCGATTACCACAAGGATTCAAATGCTCACCCACGATATTTGGTAATCAGTTAGCAAAGGAACTTGAAGAATGGAAGACTACTCAGGTAAAAGAATCTCTTTTTTCATATATAATACTTCAATATGTTGATGACATCTTTTTGAGAAATACAGAGCAGGGACTCTGCCGTCAATTAACCACTGAACTGTTAAACATGCTGGGGCAAGCAGGCTATCGAGTCTCAAAAGAAAAAGCACAACTAGTAAAACAGAAAGTTATTTATCTGGGATGTGAAATCTCCCAAGGAACCCGGCGCTTAGGAACAAATAGGGTTCAAGCAATATGTGCTATCCCTATGCCCCGAAATAATCAGAAACTGAGATCTTTTTTTAGGAATGGTCGGATGGTGCAGACTGTGGATCCCCAACTTTGGACTAACTGTCAGACCTTTATATGAAGCAGTAAAGGAGCCCAAGCTGACCTGGGGGACGAAGCAAGAGAAAGCGTTCCAGGAATTGAAAAGAGGCCTCCAGGAAGCACCTGCCCTGGGACTGCCGGACCCAACCAAGGAGTTTCAGCTCTATGTCTGCGAGAGACAACGAATGGCTTTAGGAGTCCTCACTCAGCGTCTAGGATCCTGGAAAAGACCGGTTGGGTATTTCTCCAAACGGCTAGACGCAGTAAGTGGGGGATGGCCAGGGTGTCTCAGAGCTGTGGCAGCGATGGTTACTTTAATACAAGAAGCACAAAAATTGACTCTGGGAAAACACATGGTAGTGTACGTACCCCACATGGTCATAGCAGTTTTGGAACAAAAAGGGGGGGCACTGGCTCTCATCTAGCCGTATGTTACAGTATCAAGCTTTGTTGAGAGAACAAGATGATGTTGAACTGAAAATCACTAACCATCTCAACTCAGCAGAATTCCTTAAGTCTACACAGGAAGAAGGTATCCTGGAGCATGACTGTGTAGAGACCATTGAACAAGTCTACGCGAGCAGAAGAGACTTGAAGGACGAGCCATTGACAAATCCTGACTGGGAATTGTTCACTGACGGATCTAACTTTGTGGAGAACGGCACCAGGTA